CTGGGAATGGCAGGAGCCCTGCAACAGTTTGATTTAAATATAAATTCAGACAGCAAACTGGGGGACATGGAGCCATTCAAAATCAAATTCCGAATCAGTTTGGTGACTCACATTTCCCAACAGTCAAAACCAACAAACAGTGAGTCAATCCCTTCACCACCGTCCTCACTGAGGCCCATTCTCCCAGCAGTTTTACTCTACAGTGAGCATGAAGGGGGTGACAAATTCAAACAGTCCCTTTGATCAGGAAGGGCACACGCTGGTTTAACCCAAACACACAGAAACCAGGTCAGGTGTTGTTTTCAGAGCTTGGGAAGTTCGGATACTCCCAGGTACTGTGGGATAACTCAGCTCCTTCACCACAACAACTGTACTCCTCTGCTCCTAAAAATACAACTATCAGACAAACCTTGTTTTCTCAGGCACTTTGCTGACACAAGTCCAAGATCAAAACATTCCTGGTTCAGAGAACAGAGATGTATCAGTCTGCAAAATCCAGCCATGCCATCCCCTCAAGGTGCCTGGGACACTCCTAGAAACACACATCGATTTATTACTGCTTAGTAATGTAGGTTTTGGGGGAAGAATAAAATATTCTGGTTGCCTGAATGTGTTGAGAAGGCTCAGGAAATTCCCTTTCAGCAAAACAGGATAAAGTTTATTCTTGCTTGAAGCTGCTATTTAAAAGTTATGTTAGAATGAAATAAGTAATGGCAGACACTTGGATGTTAAGCGCATTCCCTGTCCCCTCCTTAACCAGCACTTGCATCTTCTGGCCTGAGAACTGAGACACGGGGAGATTCAGATGGTTGAATTTCTAATTATAAACTCATTAAAATACTAGTTTTACGGTCACCTCGAGCCCAGCCATTCCTCAGCAATCAGAAGGAGCTGTGGGATGGGAACACAGAGCATTTCATCCCAGGAGGGAGCCAGCACAACCCGGAGCTTTGGGAGCCCCTGGGCACAGCCTCGTGGCCAATCCACCCTCCCCAAAACCATCCCGGAGCTCCCAAAGCCCAGCCCTGCCCCGGGCCACGGCAGAGCCCGGGTGACAGTGACAACACCGGCCACACAAAACCCAAACTCTGGAGAAAGCCGGAGCTGCGTGGGGAATTCCCCAAAACATCGGAAAGGGCGAGATGAATGCGAGTGGAAGGGATGAAATTACAACAGGAGCTACAAGTCCAGCCCTCCCTCCTCCTCTCTTTCCCCACCGAGTGCCAGCGATGTCTCAACACCCCAAGTGCCTTTCCAAGGAAGTAGCTCTGCTCCTTTCCGGGCCAAATTGCCATGGCAAGAAATCCCCACGTAGATTCATCTCCAACAGAAAAACATTCAGACAGCAAGCATTTCCTTCCCACAACCTGAAAACAGCCAAACATCATCAGATTTCTTTCCTGCCATCAAAGAAACCCTGTCCTGAGACAGCTCATAACAACTAAAAGCATTTTCCCATAAAGCAAATGTGCTCCCAAAGCACTGACAGAAATATTTTGTGCACCCCACGAAGCTGGCCGTGGCTGAACACACTTCACCCCCGGGAAGGCTGGAGAACACAGCAAGAGCTTTCATTTGTAATGATTTATTTTACTCCTGCCTTCACTACATCAGGATGCTTGTCTCTTACTCATCCTGTCTGTCAATACTGTCTTCCTGCAGCTTTTAAGTAAAATAACCCCCATGGTAACTGTTGTCAGGCCATGTCATGACCACTGAGGCTTCATAAATAACACTTGATATAAATAGATTTTCCAGCAACATATAAACCATCAGCTCCAATGGAAGTAGAAGGGTTGTGTGCAGCCATCTGCATTTTCTCCTGTAAGGATAAATACATAAAGAAGTGTTTGAGAGCAAAAGAAATCAATTGAAGAAATGGCTCTAACAGAAACTTCTGGGGCATGAGATTTCTTAGGTGGGTCACAGGGAGACATTGACAGGAGCAGCTACGGCAGAAGAAGATCCTCCCAGGAAGAAATCCTTCCCTGGGAGGGGGATGAGGCCCTGGCACAGGTGCCCAGAGCAGCTGTGGCTGCCCCTGGATCCCTGGAAGAGTCCAAGGCCAGCCTGGATGGGCACCCTGGGACACTGGAAGGTGCCCCTGTCCGTGACCCTGGGTGGGCTTTGAGGTCCCTTCCCACCCAAACCATTCCAGGATTCTGTCACCTCCCAACCAACACCAGTCGTGGTGGAAAGAGCTCCCAGGGGTGCCAGCTGCCTTGCCCTGCCCCGAGGACCAGGAGAGGTTTAATGCTGCAGCTCAGACCAGTCCTGAGAGCAGCTCAGCAGCCACTTCTGCAGGAACCCATACCGACCATCCCTGTAGTTTCACCTGCTTTCCTTTCAGTGGTCTGCAATCAACTTCCACAGCCCCCGGGGACACCCCTTCATGCTGAGGAAGTTGGCAGATTTGGCTACACCAGGAAGAAATTAACCCCCAAACATACGGACAGAATCAAAGAGAAAAAACTCGGCTCAATTAAAAAAAACATTTGAAATAGGAGCTGTACACAAACACAGCATTTTTTACAGGTTCATCAGAACAAATGCGGAGGAAATTAGGAAAAAAAAATCTTCAAACACTGCCATTATCTCAAGCTTCCCCTGAAGAAGTCTCCAACCAAGTAATAATGCCAACAAAGAAGCAACTTCTACTTCTCCATTGGAATTTAACTGCCTGTTAGATGACCTTCACAAGACAGAAATTCTCATATTAGCAAGGTTTAAATACACCCACACACCACCCAGTATGGACTTAGGCAGGTATACTCAGGTCTGCCTGGGCTCAGGGAGGGCAAAGAGCACAAAAATTCCCCGAACAGATTTGAACACAAAGCTTCTGTGGGCTAACCCCCAAGTGAGCACCCAGGGGACACTGCCAGGGGGTGAGGGATGGGAGCTGCTTAAATTGCTGCTGTCCCCCAAGGAAACACCCATCAACCTGCAGCCCAAATCCCACCGCTGACTGAGAGGCTGCTTTTTCTCCAAGTCCTTGGATTTGGTTCCATGCTGAAAATGCTGAAGAAGCAGGTCCCATCCTGCTCCTTCCATCTGCTGAGAGCCGTGTGCTTCCAGAGAGTTCAGCAAAGCTAAGCCTGGCTCAGGGCAGGGCTTACAGCCCAGGGCCACACTGGGATGGATCTTAACCATTTGAGTTTGGCCTGTTAAGCCACACCAGGAACCCCAGTGTGAGCTCTCTTATCCCCAAGACTCTGACACGACATTTTTGGGTCCCCTTCACATCGTGACTAAACCAAAGGCCTGTTTAAATCCATGATAAAAATCTCAGGGCTTGTTTAAGCTCCTTGCTTGCCCAAGGCTGAATTTGTTTCAGTGCATCTCCATGTTAACACTGCTGTAATACCAAGGTTTCTGGATCATGACTGGGAGCCAGGAGTAGGGGTACAAGAGCTCATCAACTAATCCAATTGTTCCACATATCTCAAGGATTATTTTCCAGTTTGCTAACCTGAACTACTTGTTGCAATAATACTTATCTACACTGAAATCACCTGGCAGACAAGGTGTGCAGTTAAGCCTGACTCTGGCACTGTGCAGCCCATCAGCTGCTCATCACTCCAGCATTTGTTCTGCTTCTCCACTTCGTTTTTACAGCCTGCATCTAACTCCACCTGCCAGGAAAAACACTACCCAAACCAGCTCTTTTTTTTTAAGCTTAAACTGGGTAATTTAAAGCCTGCTCAAGCCTGGCAGCACTACACTGCAGTGAGGACACACAGACATATTAAGCTCCCTATGAATACAGAAAATTTGGTGTTTTTATTGAAAATTAAAGCTCATCAGCAACAGGGAGCCTGGCATTTACCTGGCACTGAACTCACACCAAGAGTCAGCTGCGTGTGGAAAATGACAAGGCGGAAAAAATTAACAGGCCAGGTCTTTACCTTGTCTTAAACACCTCGGGGGATTTCCTTCGCTGCCAGAATCTTCCACCGGCTCTGCTGCTGCCTTTGGGGTCAGCCGAGCCCAAACACACCTGGCCAGGAGAGCCCCAAACTGCCTCAAGGGCTGCTCTTCCCTGCGTACAAAATGACAACGACGGCTCCAAAATGAAGGGATGGGAATAAAACTGTAAAGCCTCTGCCTCATTCCCAGCTTTTAAGGGAAAAAGGCAAAAGCCACCAATAACAAGAATGTATGATAGTGGTTAGTCCTTATTCTAGGAACCCTACTAGGCTTGCAACAAGCTTTGTTCAGGCATTTTTCTGCACTACCTACATCACTTCTTCCTACCCAAAATGTACCTTAAAACAAAAGAAAACCACACATAATATCAAACGGGGCTTGCAAGTTAAAAAGCAGAAAATTGGAATATTTACTGCCTCGATGTGCACTGAAAAAGAAAAATAAAAAGGCAAATAAATAATTTTTTAAAGGGGGAGGAAGGAAAGCTTTAAAGCGTATCACGAGAACGGGATCAGGGAAGAGCGAGGCCACCCCTTCAGGACCAGGGGAGAATTAACCTGCATTTCTCCATCCCATCTACAAGCTTACGGCTCTGCCACCCATTTTGTCTCAGATTAAAGGGAAAAAATAATAATTAAAAAAAATCATAATGCTCTCAGCGGCAGAGAGAAGACCCCACCCGGGGACGATGCCCGAGCGGCGCTGGCGGCCGCGCAGGTGACCCCGCCGCAGGTGCCACCGCGGGCATCCCCCGCGCCCCTTCCCCATCCCCTGGAGGCGATGCCGAGGCGGAAAACGCCGGCGCGGAGCTCAGGGAAGGGTTTAATTACGCGAAAAAAAAAAAAAACGCGAAATGAAAGGGCGAGGAGGCGCGGCGAGGTGCGGGCGGCGCGGCCAAGGTGAAGCGCGGCCGGCGGACATGGTGGAGGCTGCGGGGAGCAGCGAGGGGCGAGCGCGGGGATGCGGGGCCGGCACGGAGCTGACAGCGCGGGGCGGAGGGCGCCGAGGGGGAACGCGCTCCCTCGGGCTGCTCGCTCCCTCAGGCTGCTCGCTCCCTCGGCCGGGCTCACCTGCCATGGCGGGCTGAGGGCGGCAATGGCGCTGGGGGCTGCGGCTCCGCTCCCCTCGCTCTCCGCGGCGGGCGAGTGCGGCGGGGCCGGGCGGCCCGGCAGGCAGAGCTCGGGGCGGGACGGGCGCTGCCTCCGCCCCCGACAAGATGGCGCGGCCCGGCCCCGCTCCCTCAGGGCTCGGCCGCCATGGCGGGGCGAAACAGCGTCGTGTCCCTGAGGGTGAGCAGCCGCCAGCTGCAGGCGTTATGTGTTCAGGGCTTATGTGTGAAGGAGACAGATCCTACAGTCACGGCATGGGGCGGGTTGAAGGGGTTGCAGTGGGGTAATGGTCCGACCTTGCTCAGGAAGGGGCATCCCGCAGCACATGGCACGGGATTGTGTTCGGATGGGTTGGGAATATCCCAGTGAGGGACATTCCACAGCCTCTCTGGGCAGTGGAGCGCTGGACAGGCTCGCTGAGGGATGGTCATGGCCTCAGGAGGATTGTGTCCAGGTGGGTTGGGAATATCCCAACTGAGGGACATTCCACAGCCTCCCTGGGCAGTGGAGGGCTGGACAGGATGGTCATGGTCTCAGGGATGAGCTGGGATTGCGTTCAAACGGGTTGGGAATATCCCCAGTGAGGGACATTCCGCAGCCTCTCTGGGCAGTGGAGCGCTGGACAGGATGGTCATGGTCTCAGGGATGAGCTGGGATTGTGTCCAAGGGACATTCCACAGCCTCTCTGGGCAGTGGAGCGCTGGACAGGCTCGCTGAGGGATGGTCATGGCCTCAGGAGGATTGTGTCCAGGTGGGTTGGGAATATCCCAGTGAGGGACATTCCACAGCCTCTCTGGGCAGTAGAGCACTGGACAGGATGGTCATGGTCTCAGGGATGAGCTGGGATTGTGTCCCAACGGGTTGGGAATATCCCCACTGAGGGACATTCCACAGCCTCTCTGGGCAGTGGAGCACTGGACAGGCTCGCTGAGGGATGGTCATGGCCTCAGGAGGATTGTGTCCAGGTGGGTTGGGAATATCCCCAGTGAGGGACATTCTGCAGCCTCTCTGGGCAGTGGGGTGCTGGACAGGCTCCCCAGGGGATGGTCATGGTCTCAGGGATGAGCTGGGATTGTGTCCAAGGGACATTCCACAGCCTCTCTGGGCAGTGGAGCGCTGGACAGGCTCCTCAGGGAATGGTCACGGCCTCAGGGATGGCAGAGCTCCGGCAGGGTTGGGACGAGGCTCTCAGGCTCTCAGGAACGCGGTGGGATTGTTGGGATGTGCGATGCAAGGCTGAGTCGGATCAGTGGGTCCCTTCCAAACCAGGGGATTGTGTAACTCTGTTATTCTGGTTCTAGGATTCAGTGCATGGTCACCCGCACAGGAAAGTTCTTCCTCGTGTTCAGGTAGAACGCTCCGTGCCTCAATTTCTGCCCATTGCCTCTTGTCCCACTGCTGGGCCCCAGGGAGCAGAGCCTGCTCCATCTCTGACACCTCCCTGCAGGTATTGATGGACATTAATGGATATTGATGGACACTGACGGATATTGGTGATATTGATGAGGTCCCCAAACAAAGCCCCTTGGGCCCCAAAAGATGACACCTCCACCACATCCACAAATGTCATTTTCCTGAGATTTTCAGTTTTCTGGTGGGGGCCGGGACCAGTGTGACACGAATGTGACAAATCCCCTCTCCCAGCCCACAGAGCTGGGTGTTTTCAGGCACTGCTGACGTCTGCAGCTCCGGTACCCAGCGCTGGACTCTGCCTCTCTCACGTCCCTCTCGGCAACATCTGACGTCCCTAATGGCTTCTGACAAGGTTAACTCGCTCTAATTTGTGTCCTGCCCTTCCCAGAACGTGCAGTTCTCACACACAGCAGCTCGTGGCCCCTTGCCTTGCTCAGGGCTGAGCCCCTCAGCTGATTCCTGCCCTTTCTCCTTCCACCGCCTGTCCTGAGGAGATGTGACCCGTGCTGGGCTCTCTCCCCAGCCCTGCTGTTATTTCATCAAGGTGCAGCCCCCAGTCGATGGGAAAGTGCTCCCCATGCCACTGGCACCAGCTGGACCCTATTCCAGCCAGACCTGCAATTCTCTGTGGATCTTTTGGGTCCTTGCTTCCAGCCTTGCCGCTGGTGCAGAGTTTGGCAAGCAGGAATGCTGGCAGGGTGTTTGCTCTCCAGCTGCCCAACCCCTTCCCTTCCACCCCCTCTGTTGTAATGTAGGCAAACCTGACGGGAAGAGATGATGGTGTCTGGCTCAGTTCAGAAGGTTGAATAATTTATTATAATTATACTAAAATATATTAATAAACTAAACAAAGAAAGACACTAAAAACTACAAACGTACTTGTTTTAACTATATTTTTAACTAACTCACAACTCATGACCCTCTCTCTCGAGTCTAAACACAAGTAGGTCTGATTAGCCATCAGGCTCAAACCTTTCCAAAATCTAATCAAGTGATCACTCTAGGTAAACAATTCTCTAAACATATTTTGCATAAGAAAAACAAAGAACAGGAATAAAAATTGTTTTCTCTTTAATTTCTCTCTGTGCACCTTTATGAAAAATCTTGAAAGAGAGAGAGAAATGTGCTTACCACACCCCACCAAGAGGGTTTCATCCCATCCCATTAAAACCCAGCAGCTTACTTTAAGACCAGAGACCCTACAAGGCCTCTGAAGCTTTTGTGCTTATCCTCCTATATTTTTTTTTCCCAACACTCTCCTGGTTAAGCTTCTAAAAGGTTTTTCCAATGAGACATATGGAGAACTATACAGGGCAGGGCTGAGGCACAATGCTTGATTATGGATATCGATCCTTGGCATTATTCAATACCTGGCCTCATCCCAAATGTAGACACAGACTTCAGAGCAGCTTTTAAGCATTAAAAACCTTTGTTGGTCAGCGTGGGGGGGCGACAGGAGGGACATTTCAGTAATGTCAGATTGATGGAGGCTGCAGCAGTTCTGCTGTTGACAGGAGTTTGTGCAGGAAGACGGATCGTGCGTGCTCAGTGTCCCTGCAAGGCCTCCCTGTGCTCGGGATCAGGGACAGAGACACAGCTCTGTTTATTTTATTTTGGAGTATTAGAAGTTTCCAACCCTGCCCTCCCCAGGTGGAAGATGGCAGAGGGAAATACAGCCAGGGAAAACACATCAGTCAGATTGAAATGTAACAGATAAAGACCTCAAGGTCCTGATAATCCCAAGGACAAGCTGGAGAAGGATGATGGAAGTGGAGATGAGGTTGTGGGAGCCAGGAGTGTGCAAACAACTTGAGAGTACAAACAACCAGGAGAGTACAAACAACCAGGAGAGTACAACCAGCCCATCCCAGGTCCCTCTGCTTCTCCCACGGGATATTCATCCCCAGCTGTGAGGAATCCAGGGCAGGGAGAGTGCTCCAGAGTGCTCCCGGTGAGAATAACTCAGCTAGACAGGCTGTGCTCTGCAGGAGGAGGCAATTTTCTTGCTGCTGCTCTGTCTGGTACCTCAGGGCTGTACCAGACAAATGAGATTTCACTTGCTGAGTCAGGGGCAAAGCCCGTGTTTGACAGGAGGAGGAGGCTGAGTCACCTCTCCGAGTTCATCCCCAGGCTGCTTCCCAAAAGCACAGCTCCTGAAAAGCTGTTTTTGCTCTCCTGGGCACACTCACCCCGCAGTTCTGTTCCATTACATCTTCTGAACCCTGAGGCATCTGCAGGGATGGTCTCCAAGGGGGAGACAAGCTGGGATTTGTCACCTTGTGTCACGTTCACACTGTTCGAAGCTCTGGGAATAAAGAGCAGCTGCTGTGGGCAGATCTGGATAAGCAGGAAGAGAGCAGCTCATTCCCGCTTAAACTACTTCCAAAATGAGGTGGACACATTGCACTAAATCATTTTGAAGTCCATTAGAGGAATTTAATAGCACAGAATAAAAGAGCCCTTCACTCTGCACAGCAGCAGCGCCTCGTGGCTGCTTACTCATCCCTCAGCAGAGCAGTGAGAGCACAGACACAGGCCCTGCTTTCACCCACTTGAAATAATTCCTCAGAGAGGAAGGATGGAGGGCTTGGGTCACTCTTACCCCGTGACTCACTTCATCCCCTGTGTGAGCACATAGCAACAGCAGCACACGGTGACATCAGGAGTGACACACACGCACCAGCCTCCTCCAGCCAGGGGCAGAAGGCAAAACAAAGGTGCTGAGGCATCAATTACACCAGGAACCCTCTACAGAGCAGCTGCTGAACCTGAACTGCCCAAATCCCACCGGGCAGACACCAGGAGTGGTCACTCACAGCCAGGAAAAGCAGACTGGAGACAGAGAACTGGGCCCGCAGCTCTGGGGCTGCCTGTGGAGGCTCCCTGCAGCTCCTCCTTGCCCGGACAGCTGAGCAGGGCTTGTCACGAGAGTGCAGAGTGGCAATTATAGCAGCAGGATGCCACAGGGCTGGCCAGGCCCTCTATTTATAGTTCCAGCACAGCTCTGCCTGGGTGCTGCTGCTCACAGGTGAAGGCACAGGCCAAGGGAAAACAAAGAGGAAGGACTAGCAACCCCTTTGATGAGAACCACCAGTCAGAGATGAAAGGACAAAAAAGAAATCCACAGAGAGCCTGGAACAATGAACTCCAGTTTCTTCCCTAAAAAGTGCCCTGTAGCTGGTTAACCCCTTCCCTGCCTGAAGTGCCACCTCTCTGCTATTCTTAATTGGTGCCAAGCGGTGTCACTGAAGTGTTCTGCAAGCTCTGGCCCCTCCTGCCACTGCTGAATTGTTTCCAGCAGAGGTGGCAGAGGGGCCGTGGGCCTGTGGCCAGGGTGGGAGGCAGCAGCCCAGGACAGCACCCTGGACACTGCCCTGCCCCAGGGATGGTCCATCCGGAGTCAGCCTCTGCCAGCTCCGGGGTGGCAGCCGGCCACGGATCCAAGTCAAAGAGTTGCCTTTGTTTCATGGGGAGCATTAAACCATGAGCTGCTTGTCAGCTGAACTTTGAAGTGTCTCCTCAGTGATCTGAAACTCGATCACGCAACAGACCTCTACAAATACTCTTTTTGTGTTTGAAGCTGGAGACCATCCACTGGTTCATTTTTAGGCACACATTTGCACTGGCCCTGTTACAATCCTGCCTCTGTTCTTGTGCAATAAAAAGCAGAGAGGATTCTCTTGACCTCCAGTATCAAATACAGAGAAAATAAGGCATTTGTCTGGAAAAGAACCACCCAAAATAGCAGGGAAGAGGTCATGCTGTGCTATGGACTGTTAGTGTTGAGAGACAAGGAAAATGAGGATTATAGGAGCTGGCAGACTTCTAATGACACATTCATGAAAACTGCTAGAAAATTATATGGTGATGCTAATTAGTATTTATAGGTTTAAGGACCTGAGGTCTTTCCCTTTTACACTAAACATGTGCCTAAGAGTAAGAAATAATCCCTGCTGAGGTGAGTTCTCAGTTTTCTTCGATGATTTGTTCTAGATCCAGAGCATTTCCTCTGCTACACACAGAAACTGATGCTCCTGCCTCAAGCAGCTCGTGTTCCCTGAACTCCTCACAGCCCCCCTCAGGCTTTGCAACACCCTGATGCAGACAATTCTCACTACATGCATTTTCTGTCTTGTCCCCTCCTTGCAGAAGCTGGGGAGAGAGCCCAGAGGACCTGACTGGATGTTTCATTTCTGTCACATCAGCAGGGCCATCTGCACCAGGCATTTCCCACTGACAGGAGAAGGAAGGTTAAAACCTCTCATGACAGGTTAACAGCATGATTTGCAGCAACAGCTTCAATAAATGGTTGTAGGCACGAAAGAGTAGCAGGCAGCTAATCCTTTAAAGACTTAAGAACAGCTACTACTTCAGCCCAAGTAAATATTTCAAAACAAAATTAATTAGTGGTGACTAGTGGATTTGCTGCCCTTTGCTTTAACAGCCCAGGATGGAACGGTGATTCCTGCACAGAATTTTTGCTTCAGTGCCAAACCTGCTGTTTCACAGGAGCTGAAAGTCCTCTCAAAGAAGATTCATCCCAGTTTTGTTCCTCTGTGTAACTGCAGAGCTGGAAAAGCTCTGCAGGGATCTCATGGATGTGTGTTGCTGTGGGAGGGAGGTCCCTTTGTGCTGCCCAGGGATGAGGAGAACAGCGTGGCTCAGAATCCTGAGTACAGTGTGCAGGAAGGAAATGTCACTTCCTGATTCTTATCAGGACAAAGCTCTGTCCATGCAGGCCAGACCAACAGAGCTCCCAGTAATTGCCTTACTTCTGATTAAAAGCAGTTCCTGAACACCTTCCTAGACACAGGAAAGCAGGGAAGGAAAGGCCTCAGGGTAGCAAGTCCTGAACCAGCACAAAGCACGGTCTGCCAGAGCAGCAAACCAGGCAGTTCAATCAATTGGAAACAATAATTTCTGATCAAAAATCGAGTTTCTCCCCCGCACCAACCCTTGGCTCCACCACAGAACAAAGCCAGCTCTCTTGGGAGGCTCTGTTGTGGCCTTGCTGGACTGTCTGGACTATTTTTAGTCAAATCCAGCATTCCTAAAAATCCTCAGGCTGCTTTTGTGCTCAGGAAGGGGAGAGGGATTGCTGTGCACGTGCACATCCACATTCCACACAGGACACGGGAGTGGGAGCAGGGAAGCACAGCTGGCTCAGCGCAGAGCCCTGGGAAAAGGACAAAAAATCTTTATTTTCATCAGGCTGAGAAGGCAGGAAGTGAAGGCAGGACTGCCCCGAGCTGGGAGAGGGAAACCAAAGGTATTGGTTGGGAGAGCAGGGAGATCCAAGGGCTGGGAGGTGTGCCCCACCTGCTGAAGGGATGGAGATCCAAGGGCTGGGTGCTGTCCCCCACCTGCTGAAGGGATGGAGATCCAAGGGCTGGGTGGTGTCCCCCACCTGCTGAAGGGATGGAGATCCAAGGGCTGGGTGCTGTCCCCCACCTGCTGAAGGGATGGAGATCCAAGGGCTGGGTGCTGTGCCCCACCTGCTGAAGGGATGGAGATCCAAGGGCTGGGTGCTGTCCCCCACCTGCTGAAGGGATGCAGCTCCCAGGACAGCAATGGGGAGAGGCCACCAGGATCAGCCACAGAGGCCTGGAGGAGCTCTCAGGGCAGTGATCTTGAGAAGAGCAGGACAAACACCCAAGGGAAGGGCAAATTCTTTCTTTTTTTCCCCAATTAGATATAAAAACCCCTGCAGAGAGGATTTTTTCATCTGGCCATCCTTCACACAGCCCTGCTTATTTATCCACTGAGGACTTTGCCTCTGTCCAAGACAAGTAAATTCATCAATTCCTTTCCTCCAGGAACATCAGCGTGTTCTCAGAATCACAAAGTCACAGAATGCCCTAAGCTGGAAGGAACCCACAAGGATCATCCAAGTCCATTTCCTTCTCTTGTCCCCTTCATTTATCCCACTGAGGTGACCCCCCACCCCTTCCCAAACTGCTTCCTCCTCTCCCTCCCTCTTTGCTTTTTCCATCTAAACTTCCACTTCCTCTCCCCGCTCCCCAAACCCAAATAAACAGGTTCTTGTCCCCTAGGAGAGGCTGATTCATGGCTTGACGTCAGCAGCAGCTCTCCTGGCCAGAGCCAGCTCTAATTGACAGATTCCAGCTGCTGCCAGCAGCAGTGTCCCTCGTCCCCTGTCCCACCCCAGCTGGGGCTGGCATCAGGGAGGGAACCTCCAGAGGTGGGAGATCTGAATTTAACAACTGAACCAGCTCTTCCTCAGCGTGCTGGGGTTCACACAGGGCAGTGGGGACAAGTGAGGGAAGAGAGGCAGGTTAAAAAAACGGAGTTTGGGTTTAATCTGCAGCACTGAAGGAGGAAAAAAAGGCAATTCCAGAAGTTCAGAGCAAGGTGTTTGTCCAGCCCTGACTGTGGACACATCCATGGGCCTGCTCTGCACTGTCAGTCACTCCTGCCCTTCCTTCCGGAATGTTCTGCTCACCTGGGCTCAGGTGGCGGCTGTGGAGTGCTCTGTGCAGCCTGACACTGCTGGGGCTGCTCCAGAGCTGCTGCCTCCCTCACTCCAGCAGCACCTGGAGGCACCAGCAGCCGGAGCCCAGGAGAGTTTTTAGTGCACTCTGACACATGTGAAGGTGGGAAGGACAAACTTGTGCTTACAGAGAATGTAGAACTTTATTCAGGTTAAGTGCATCCACTTGCACTGCTGCTCGTTGTCCAGGACACTGAGAACAGGACACAGCTTGGTCTGACCTCACACAAGTGGAGCCATCACTCTGTTTTCCCTGAATGACACTTGAGCAAAGCTGGCAAAGCAATCCAGAGGGGTTTGTTCAGCACAAACTGCACAGAGAAATTCTCTTCACTGGCCTGGGCAGGTCTGCACAGCACATTATCTACACAAGGACCCCTAAAGACAGACAGCTGGAGTTCAGGTGTCCCCAATACCCAGTCAAGTGTCTCCAGTATCAGTCAAGCCCAAGATTTTTGGTATTTAGACACTTGAGTCTGGGTTCCAATCCTTCTCCCAGTACCCATTGGGTTGTTTAAATAACCAGCAAACTCCAGCACCAGTCCTTGTGAAGGATAAGCAGATTCTGCCAAAAGCGACGGTGGCACAAGGAAAGCTCACTGGGGAAGGAGGTGTTTGTGGGGAAATGAGCTTGGTCAGCGTGGCAGGGGCTGAGGAGCCACTGCACTGCGTGGAAATCCCTTCCTGCAAGTGCTGCTTTCCCCCTCCCATCGGACTCTGTTTATCCAGGAGCAGTAGTTTGGAAGCATTTCTGATGGACAGAGAGCAAAAGGAGAATTTAATGACAGTCTGTCTGCACAGGTAACCCAACAATAACCACAATCTCATGGAAAGCTAAAATAAACTCTAGAAAACACAGAAAAAAACCAAATATCTGCTGCCGAAACCAGCTCATCTATTTCTGGAAAATTGCAAGGATTGCCTCGCCCAGGAAGAGCTTCCCAGCGAGCGGAATTACGCAACCCTGAGGGGAAAAAAAATCCCATAAATCCCAAGTTCTTCACAATTCCTTTTGGTCAATTCGGGGCTGGAGCCCCCACCCCCCAAACCGGAAAAACTGCAACACCTCAGGGCCGGGAAGCAGCGCCACGAGAGGGACACGCATCAGCCGTGCCCTGCCAGCAGCCAGGGGAACTACCAGCTCCGAGCAGCCTAATTAGCGCGGGGTTAATTAATTAATTAACGGTTCAGTCGTCGAAGTCGGGGATGTCGTCGTAGGAGTAGCCCCGGTAGCCCTTGGAGGCGTAGTAGGCGATGCGCAGGTGGTAGAAGCCCGGCAGGAAGACCAGGATGCCGATGATCAGCACGGGGATGGCGCGGTCGGTCTCCTGCAGGGACACACGCAGGGCAGGAGGGCCTCAGCCTTCAGATTCTGCTTTTTCAGGTGCTGTGCTGCCTCAGTGTGCAGCTCTGAGCTGCACCTTAAGTGCTGTGAGCTCTCCTCACAGAGCAGGAGACAAAACAATTCCTGCTCCAGCTGGGGACCGAGGACAACCACCCAAATCTCAGCCCAAGGGCACAAACAGCGTGGAATGAAGAGAGAAAAACAAGGAGGATGGGACTGCAAAACCTAAAGCTGGAATTGGACAATTAACCCCAATATGCAAATGGAGCAGAACTTATAAAAGTGACAGACCCCGTGACAAGTCGTGCATTTTGTGACCATTTTCGTTCATCTTGGGCTCATTTTGTGACCATTTTAGTTCATCTTGGGTGCAGCCCTGGCTGGGCTCTTGTGCTGCCCAAGGTGGATCCATTGAGGAGATGCTGTGAATAAATCCCCACTTTATTCTGTAACTCTGCAATAGCTCAGCCTTCCCAGGGCATCACAGTGACACCTGTGTGAGGGGCTCTCCTCCCTCTCACACCCTGCCTGCTCTAGGGGAAGGCTGCCCTGCCCAAGGCAGGTGAGATGAGAAGGAATTCTCAGAATGAGGTGATCTGTAAGGTTCTCTGAACCCAAACCACCCCGTGGTTCCCCGTGGTTCTGTGATCCATCCCCAAGGCCTGGCGAGCTGAGAAATAAAACCAGAAATCTCTCAGCTGTCGTCAGGCTGAGCCTTTAATCCTGTGCTGAGCTCTCCTCCCTGCTGCAGGAGCCCTCAGGGGACCCCATCCTTCACCAGGGACCCCATCCTTCACCAGGGACCCCATCCTTCACCAGGGAGCCCCGATGTGCAGCCAGGGCTGGGAGCCCGAGCACGAGCCCAGGGATCCGTGCCTGAGCGCTGCTGATAGCCCCAGAGGCTGCTGCTGCTGCCAGAGATAAGGCAGGGCTGCCAACCCCCCCTGAGATCACAGGGAGCAGGGGGAGAAGCACCCAGAGCTGCAGGAGCAGATCCCCTTCCCGTGGATCAGCCACAGCCAGGTGGGGAAGCGCTGCCGTGCCCCACTCGGGGTCTGGCAGCTCCTCCTGTCCCTGCAGGGGCTGAGATCTCTCCAGGACAGGGATGTCACCTCCCAGGACAGGCTGTGGTGGGAATCCATGCCCTGCTCACTTCCTGTGCCTCTGAAGCTCTCCACTGAACACCACCACAGGATCCCTGAGGCTGGAGAGGACCTTCAGGGCCATCAAGTCCAACCACGACCCAGCACCACCCCCAGGGTCACCAAACCATCCTCGTGTTCTGAACACTCCCCCTGCAGCCGTGCCAGGCCTTTGCCACATCAAACCTTTCCCAATTTTGAGTTGAAAGCTCCCCTGGTGCAGGGGATGGGCAGCAGGGCTCAGGGCAGCTCCGAGGGCAGTGCCAGGAGCCCGGGGAAGCACTCACCCCTTTGCTGATGTACCCTGCCAGCAGCAGGGCTCCGATGACGATGAGGAAGGTCCCGATCATGAAGAGCACCACAGCCAGCGCGATGGCCTTGTAGGGGATTTTGGGTGGGCTCTTCTTGAACTGGGTGGAAAAAGCCAAATACTCAACAGCTGAACTGGGCACAGATGGGACCCCACAGCTGGCACAGCTGGCACAGCTGGCACGGGACAAAATTCTGCTCCAGAATTGCCCTCCAGGAGGAGTTCTGCCATGGAGACCCTGCTGAGCCAGCCCCTTCTCCCAGCCTCGTTCCCAGGAAGGATTTTTGGGATTTCCAGAGGGGAAGGGCCGAGGGTTTGGCTGCCTCCAGGCTTTGCTCCACCAGAGCTGCACGAGAAGCAGCTGCCTGTGCAGGGCCAAGCTGTGGCTGCCCAGCTTCCTTCCCCAGTTCTTACCTGCAGGTCGATGTATCCATCGTCGGTGCTGGAGAGTTTGGAATATTTCACTTTGCTGCTGGGGATGCCAGCAGAGAGATTGGTCCGTGAGGGCATCGTGCCAGGGGGGCCTGGGCATCAGCTACAGCCTGGCAGCGGGGCAGGAGGAGAGAAAGCTGAGTGCTGCCAGTCTGAGACACACAACTCAAGTTTCTCAAGAGAAACTGCCCTGCCAAGGCTGTGCCACCCAAAACCAGCCCTGTTCCCCTGGGGAAATCAAAGCTTTTCCCACAGAGGGTCTAAGCATTGCATTTGAAGCCTGAAATATAAAATGGATACAGCTGCAGCAATGTCTGGAATCAAGGTAGAGCCTGTGCCTAAAACCAGATGGAAATTTGGGAATTCTGGGCAGGGCCCAGGGTATAACCAGCTCTCACCCACCAGCAGCTCCAGAACACACATGTCCAAGCTCTGGCTGTTTCTGAGCACAACACCAGCAAATAAACCCAAACCAGAGCTGAACAAAGCAGCTTTTCAACCACCAGATTTCACAAGAGAGCAATTTTGGGAAGGAAAAAGCAAACAAACAAAAAACCAACGCAAACCACTGGAAACTGGGAGGAAATGGAGGTGTTGGGGACAGCAGGAGTGGCTCAGAGGCAGAGGACAAGGGGACAGTGTGAGTGCTGAGCTCACCTCAGGCCAGGTGAGCAGAGCAGGGGGACACCTGGGGACAGGGATCAGAGCCAGCTGCTGTCCCTCAGAGCTGCCCAGGGACCCTCCTGCCGAGCTCCCCCGCCCCTGTCCCGCCAGGGAAGGGCTCCCACACCTCCCAGAGCCTCAATAGAGCTTTTATTTCCTGAGAATTCAGGAACCAAGGGAACAAAAGCAGATATTCCAGCGGTGCCAACAGGAAGGGATAAAAACTCTGTTTCCACAACACTCTTCAGCATCAGAGGTGATGCAGCCACTCAAATATTGAGTCTCACTTCAGCTGAAGCCCTTTGTCACTAAGTGCTGGCACATTCCCCACCCACCTGCGCTCCTCCTGCTGTAAAATTGACTTTTATAAATCCCCTCTGATCTGAGATTCCCACCGCTGAACCTGGGCTTTGAACTTTGGGCTTTTGTTTTAGGGGCAAAAACCAGACACGGACCAAACATTTTCAGCCCCGTGGATAATGGGAACACCTGCAGGGCGGCATTTCCTGCTCCCCACACACCCCTCCACATGCCCAGAACACACCAAATCCACCCTGAATCCACCTGAACGCACCCAAACCACCTGAAATCCACCCCAAACCCTTCTGGAATCCACTCAAACCACCCCAAATCCACCTGAACCCACCCCAAACCATCCCAAATGCACCCAAACCCACCCAAACCACCCTAAATCCACCTGAACCCCCCCAAACCCACCTAAATGTACCCAAACCCACCCAGACCACCCCAAACCCACTCAGACCATCCGAAATCCACCTGAACCCCCCAAACCCACCTAAATGTACCCAGACCACCCAAATCCACCTGAACTCCCCCTAAACCCACCCAGACCACCCTAAATCCACCTGCACCCCCCCAAACCCACCTAAAATGTACCCGAACCCACCCAGACCACCCTAAATCCACTTGAACCCCCCCAAACCCGCCCCAAACCACCCCAAACCCACACAGACCACCTTGGATTGACCCAAACCACCCTGAATCCACCCTGAACCCCCCAAAATCCACCCCGAATCCACCTGAACCCCTCCCAAACCCACCCAAACCATCCAAATCCACCTGAACTCCTCTCAAACTCACCTAAATGTACCCAAACCCACCCACACCACCCTGCATCCACCTGAAACCCCCCAAACCCGCCCCGAACCACCCCAAACCCACCCAGACAACCCTAAATCCACCTGAACCCCCCCCAAACCCACCCAGACCACCCTAAATCCACCTGAAGCTCCCCAAACCCACCCAGACCACCCTAAATCCACCGGAACCCCCCCAAACCTACCCAGACCACCCTGAATCCACCCCGAACCCCCCAAATCCACCGGAACCCCCCCAAACCCACCCAAACCACCCCGAATCCACCGCAACCCCCCCAAACCCCACCCAGACCACCCTAAACCCACCGGAACCCCCCCAAACCCCCCCACCCCACGCCGAACCCCCGGGCCCGGCCCGGACCTGCCGCCGCCCGCTCCATCGCCCCCGGAAGTGGCTCCCGTGCCGCCGCTTCCCTTCCGGGTCACGGCGGGGCCGGCCCGGCCTGTTCCGCCCGGCGGGGACGGGACCCCGCGGGAACGGGCGGCGGCTGCGGGGCCTCAACTCCCGCAGGGCCACCGTGCCCTGGGCAGGGACACCTGCCATTGTCCCGCGGTGTCGCGTCCTGGCCGGCCCGGGACGCTGCCGGGGATGCCCGGGAGTGCGGGTCCCTGCAGGAGCCCCGGGCCGGGGAGAGTGTCCCCAGGGCAGGGCCGGGGAAAGTGTCCCCAGGGCAGGGCAGGGATGGATGTCCCCAGGGCTGGGATGTCCCCAGGGCAGTGCTGTCCCCAGGGCAGGGATTGGCTGTCCCCAGGGCAGGGCTGTCCCCAGCACCAGGTTATCCCCAGGGCCGGGCAGGGATTGTCCCCAGGGCAGGGCTGTCCCCAGGCAGCAGCGGGGTTCGCTCGTGGCCGGCACTGCCACCTGGTGCCATCCCCTGTCACCCGCCAGGGACAGCTCTCGAGGCGGTGCGTCCCCAGCATTCTCATGTCCTACCGAGCACAGCCTCCCAAAAACCGGACTGAAAATCGGGCGTTTAGGCTGGAAACGCCTTCATGGGATCGTGAATTCCACCGAAGCACCTGTCCCCAGGTGCCACATCTGGCACCTCCTGCACACCCGAGTGACCGAAGCTGGTCTGGGCCATGACAAGGGACTCGGGGCACTCAGCACAGCTTCAAAGGCATCCATTCACCCACCCCACCTAAACACCACAAACCCCTGGAAATTATATCCTTTATTTCCATTCTCTGAGTTTCAGAGTATCAGCTTCAAAAATAAATGTAGTAAGGTCACAGAAACTGGTGGGATAATAAACCAGCAACCCTAAGCTACAGCTCCACAGGGGAAACTCCAGGATACATCTTGACCCATTAAATATCGCCCCTCTTCTCCAAGAGCAGCTGCGAGGAGTAAGAAATTTCACCTTCAACAGCATCTGAGAGGTGGGTGGGAGTACAGGAACAGACTAGAAAAACTCAGCTTTCCTATTTCCAGTGACACCAGGATAGGAAAACAAGCAAGTTGAAAAATATTTACAAAGCTATCTACAAGACACAGCTACAGTGCTCCCAGGGTGTTCCAAGGCTCTGGAATTGCTGCCTCAGCCTGGAGCAGATCTCCTCCCGTCCTGCTCCAGTTAAGAGCCGTCCTGCTGGTCCTCGATCTTCGGGGCCAGGTAATACTTCAGGTGTCCCATGTCAGCGATTTTGTACTCCACAACTGCGGGAGGGAAGGGAGAGAGGGAGTTCAGGGGGTTCTGTGAGACACCCAGCCCCAGCCCCAGCTCTGCCCTGGCACTCACCCAGAGGAACATCTGCAGACATGCTGAGCGTGACCGTGGGGGACAGGGGGGTGGCTTTGGTGAAGAAGTTCAGGTACCTCAGGGCGAAGGTCAGCTGCACCGGCTCGTTCATCTCTATTGTAACCTGGGGAGGTGACAGAGGATTCCAGAGCCCCGGCACAGCTCGGGCCATGACCACCAGGGCTGGAGCAGCAAGTGGGAGAGGATTCCAGACCCGGCACAGCTCGGGCCATGACCACCAGGGCTGGGGCAGCAAATGGGAGAGGATTCCAGAGCCCCAGCACAGCTCGGGCCATGACCACCAGGGCTGGGGCAGCAAGCAGGAAAGGATTCCAGAGCCCTGGGACATCTCGGGCCATGACCACCAGGGCTGGGGCAGCAAACGGGAGAGGATTCCAGAGCCCTGGCACAGCTCAGGCCACGGCCACCAGGGCTGGGAGCAGCAAGCAGGAGGATTCCAGAGCCCTGGCACAGCTCTGGCCATGGCCACCAGGGCTGCTCCCAGCCCTGCTGCAGCTCCAGGGCAAGACTCACACTGCAGGGACTCAGGGACTCATGGCCCTGTCCCTGCTCGACCCTTTCCACCCCCAACCCTTCCCCAGCTCCAGGATCCCCCAGAGAAGCGGCTTGGCAAAGCCCAGAGCCCTGCTTGGCCACTCACAGCCTCCTCCTCCTTGTCCACGTTGCTGGTCTGGGACAGTTTGATGTTGCCGTTGCCCAGCTCGCCGTTGGCCGAGAACTTGACGCCGTCCTTGGCGCAGGAGATGACCACGGCGTCGCCGATGTGGCTCAGGTCCCGGCAGATGCGCGCGAACTCCGCCGAGGGCATCTTCACCACGCAGCTGTACTCCTGCTCCTGGGGGACAGGGACAGCTGCCAGGGCCAGGGACACCCACAGGGACAGCTGCCAGCCTTGGGGTACTCAGTGACACCCACAGTGACACCCTGCCAGCCTTGGGGTACTCAGTGACACCCACAGTGACACCGTGCCACCCTGTGGGCACGCCCAGGGACACCCACAGTGACATCCTGCCAGCCCCAGGCCTGTCCAGCGCTCCCAAGGCCGCTGTGTTACAGGATCTGATGTGAGCCCAGTTCCATCCCAGTGCCACCAGTCACCTGAGCTGTTACTTACTGGGATCCCCAGCTGCTCCACATCAAGATCCATCAGCTTCATCTCATAATCAGAAACTTTCTCCTGGTCTGCAGAAGCAAAGCAGGGTTACAGCAAAGAGCAGAGTGACAAACACCAATTGGACTGATGCCACTCCCCTCAATAATGACAGTGAGGTTTCCCTTTGTTGCCCCAGCAGCCTTTCACAGGCTGTAAGGGTACAGCCAAAAACATCTCTGTGCAGCCCAAAACATTCCTCCTCTTGTAACGAAAATATTTATCAACTTGATCAAGTTTCTATCTCCAAACTGTCCCAAGACTCAGGTGTCCCCTCCCACTCCTGCAGACCCCAGGAACAAAGGGCTCCCCCAGTGAGAACCCCACACTCACTGGGTGCCTCGAACACCAGCGCCAGGGTGTCGGCGTTGTCCTCGGCCCGCAGGGTGATGATGTCCTCGTTCCCCGCGCATTTCAGGATTTTGGACATGCTGCAGGGGAGAAAGGCAGGTGAGCCACAGGGCTGGGAGCTGGCAGGGCAGGAGGGGATGTGATAGCACAGTTATCAGGCTCTCCTTCCAACACTCTTGGGACACTCCCCAGCCTCTCTGGTCGGTCTCTTCCAGTGCTTGGTCACCCACAAACTTCTTCCACATACACGGGGTGGAACTTCAGCTCCTGCCTTTCCTCTTGTCCCAGGCTGGGCAGATCCTGGACCCATCCTCTGCCCCTCCCATGGGTATTTACACATAGGGATGATTTCCCCCTCTCAGCAGTCTCCTCCCGAGGCTCCAGGCCCCTCATCTTTGTCACCCTCCGTGTCTCTCCTCTCGTGAGGCGCTTCCAGCGGGGCAGGAAGGACCAGCAGCTCCCCGGCCCGCCGGCAGTGCTGCTGCTGCCGCTGCCCGGGGCTCTGCAGGGCCTTTCCCGAGGGCGGCAGGGCCTTAGGGCCGTCACTCCTTCCCCGCTCGGGGCCATGGCGGCGGCTCCCGCCAGCGCTGCCTTTTCCCGCCACTCGCCGGCAGTGACGTCACGGCCGCGCCGCGCGCCGCGAAAAACGGCGCGAGAGCCGTGAGGGGAATGGAGGGGGAGAAAGGCTGAGGGGGCTGCGAGACCCCCGGGACCCCTCACACCTCCCCTCACACCCTTCCCCGGCAGCCCGGAGCGCCACAGCCGCCCCATGGCAGCGCCCCAGGAGAGCCCGCCGCCGGCTGACCTGGACAGGTTGACGCCCATGGCGATGTTGCGGTCGCAGCGGTACGTGTCGAAGCCCTCCGACCGCAGCGTGAGCTGCACCAGCGAGACGTGCGAGGAGTCCATGCTCTGCAGGCTGATGCCGCCCGAGCCCAGGTCCCAGCAGGCCTCGGTGATGAGGTCCTTGAGGGCCTCCAGCACTCGCTTGAGCACCGAGCCCTGCACCAGCCGCGCCTCGAACATCCTGGCGGTGTTTTAACAGCAGCACCCGCGGGAACGGCACGGACAGACCCCAAGGCGGAACAACCGAAAAGCCACCGGGCCGGCCCGCCAAGCCCCTTTTATGCACTCCGCCGCCCCGCCCTCCGCCGCGCAGCAGCCAATCACCAGCGCCGCTCTCCTCCTTCAGCCCAACCCCCTCCGAGCTCACACACAGGGCCCCGCCGCGCTCCGGCCAATCCCAGCGCCGCTCCTCCCCTTAGTCCCTCCCCTTCGTGCGGCGGGAGCCAATCACCGCGCGGTTTACACAGGCCGCGCGTCTCGCCTCGTTGCGCAGCGTTGGCGGCACGGCCCGGTGGCCGCAGCGCCGCCGGTGCCGCACAGGCGGCCTGGCCGTACGGACGGCTCGGTGCGCGCCTCTCCTCAGGCACCTGAGCGAAAACCAGCCATAGCACAAACCCGTCTGTCCCTGCCACAAACCCCTCCTGCTTCTCCCGCCGCCTTCCCGCGCGCTCTCTCGCGCCACACATCATGGCAGCCCCCACCATCCGGGCACACCTGGGCGCGGCCATGCCTCTCCCCACCAAACCCCGCCCCCTCGCCCATCCCACGCCTCCCATTGGCCTGGCCCCCGCGCAGGCCCCGCCCCCTCGGCGCTATTGGCCGGCGGTGGTGCCGGTGCGGTGTCGCCCCCTGGCGGCGGTGGCGGCGGTGGCGGGTCCGGCATGAGCGAGGCGCGGCTGAGGCCCGGGCGCGGCCCCGGCGGGGCCCGGGAGCCCCAGGACAAGGTGCGGAGCGGCCCCGGGGTACCGGGGGAGCCGAGGGGCGGCAGGGACCGGGGGGAACCGGGGAAAGCGGGGGGCGCGGGGCCTGCGCGCCGCGGGGTCCCGGGGGCCCGCGGTGAGGCCGCCGTGAGGGCCCCGGGGGCCCCGCGCTCCGTTCGCCGGCCCCGGGCGGGCGGATCCCGCCTGAGGGGGTTTGGAGCAGCGAGAAGGTCTGGGCGGGGGGGGGTCGCGGAGCTTCGCTGAGGGGACAGCGCGGTGGCTGCAAGGGAATGGGGGGGTCCAGACCTGCCCCGGGACCCCCTAAATCACCCCTAAGGAATAACAGGGGGTTCAAACCTGCCCTGGGACCCCCTAAATCATCCCTCAGGAATGACAGGGAGTTCAAACCTGCCCTGGGACCCCCTAAATCATCCCTCAGGAATGACAGGGGGTTCTAACCTGCCCCGGGACCCCCTAAATAATCCCTGAGGAGTGACGGGGGTCCAAACCTGCCCTGGGACCCCCTAAATAATCCTCAGGGAGTGATGGAGGGGTTACAAACATCCCCCTAGGGAAGGGTTTCAAATGTCCTGAATCATCCCTAATGACAGGTGGAGTTACAAATCTGCCTTGGGACACCCTAAATCACCCCCAGGGAATGACAGGAAGGTTGGAAACCTTAGGGAAGGGTTTGGGACCTCCTAAATCATCCCTAAGGAATGATAGGGGGGGATTCCAAACTTTCCCTTAAGGAAGGGTTTAGGACCTCCTAAACCATCCTTAGGGAATGACGGGGGGGTTACAAAGCTTAGGAAACCTTAGGGGAGGCTTTGGGACCTCCTGAGTGATCCCAGGGAAGGAGCTGGGGGTTCCAGACCCCTCAGGTTCCCTTAGGGAAGGGTTTGGGACCTCCTCAGCCATCCCCAGGGTTTATTGAGGGCTGGCACTGCCTTTCTCTGGAGGGAGAAGTTTCCTTTTCATAGCAGGAGAGGCACAGGGAGCAAACCTGGCTCTGATTCCCTGTGCCATCCCTGCTGTCCCAGCCCCGAGCCTGCCTGGATGCTCAGGGTTTGCTCTGTGAGTCATTTGTCACCCTTTGTTGCCCTTTGTCACCCTCTGCCACCTCTGATCCTGCACCTCCCCAAGGCGGAGCAAACAGTCAGGGAGAACTTTGGGAATGACGTTTGCAGGGTGATGGGGAGCAGCAGTTTTTGTTGTTACCTCAGGCTGGTCCCTCAGCCCCCAGCAGCAGCAAATCGATGTTTTGTCCATTAGTGCACTGCTCAGAGCAGCACCAAACCAGCAGGCAGAGCTCCCTGCAATTTTAATGCCATTTTAATGCCATTTAAATGCAATTTTAATGCCATTTTAATGCCAGTTTAATGCCAGTTAAACATCTGCTAGAGGCTGTGCGGGCAGCCTTGGGGGAACTTGGTGGTGCTGATGTGGTCAGGGAGGGCTGGGGTGGCTCTGGGGACTGTGCCTCCCTCACTGGAGCTCTCTGACACTGAGCAAGGAGCTGTGAGATGGTTCCAGCTGTGCAGAGGGTGAGACCTTGAGCTGTGCTCATCTCTGCAGCAGAAAACCTTCGGGGAGTTTTGTATTCCGTTTTTATGTGCTTGGAGTTGGAGTGGCAGGGCTGCTGCACAACAAAGTGGCTGAGCCAGGCTGGGATTGGCTTTAGCTGGGCCTGAGGAAGCTCAGAGGACAATCCTGTGCCCCTGAGGAAGCTCAGGGGACAATCCTGTGCCCCTGAGGAAGCTCAGAGGACAATCCTGTGCCCCTGAGGAAGCTCAGAGGACAATCCTGTGCCCCTGAGGAAGCTCAGAGGACAATCCTGTGCCCCTGAGGAAGCTCAGAGGACAATCCTGTGCCCCTGAGGAAGCTCAGAGGACAATCCTGTGCCCCTGAGGAAGCTCAGAGGACAATCCTGTGCTCCTGAGGAAGCTCAGAGGACAATCCTGTGCTCCTGAGGAAGCTCAGAGGACAATCCTGTGCCCCTGAGGAAGGTCAGAGGACAATCCTGTGCCCCTGAAGAAGCTCAGAGGACAATCCTGCGCCCCTGAAGAAGCTCAGAGGACAATCCTGTGCTCCTGAGGAAGCTCAGAGGACAATCCTGTCATCTCCAGGCCCTGTTTTCAAGTGCAGTGAACCTTCTGAAGGACTCCTGTGACATTTCCTTCCAGCTGGTGACCTGGAGCGTCCTTACTAGAGAGAGTCCACCTTCCTGTTGTGCTGCTCCTCGTCAAAGAGCTCAAACTGAACTGCAGCAGGGGAGGAAAAAAAGCAGTGAAATGGTCCCAGGCAGCGAGGAGCAGCTCCTCTGGGGTGCTGAACGTGATGTTTGATCACAGAAACAGCAGAGAAATTCCCCAAATCGCCCAATGCAGCTGCAGGGAGGTGCCCCAAGGCTGATCCTGGTGGAACCCTCGCTCTCCCTGCTGGGTGGCAGGGGTGGATTTCCTGCCCTGCTGTACTGCAGTTGTGTTTTCAGTGCTGGAGGAGAATTCCAGCGGGATGTAAACACCAGGATCGCGCTGGTTTGGGCTTGGTGCCACTTCCCTGGTTTGGCAAGGCACAGGGAGAGGCTGGTTTCACTTTGTGCTGCTCTGCCCTCGCTCGCTGTGCCAGCCCTGGTGTGTCCCTGGGCTGCCTCGGGAGACCCTGGGGTTAAAGATTATAAAAATTAAAGCCCCTTCTGGAAAACTGAGATTTTAATACTGGGGTTGAAGAGGGGAGAGGAGTGGGGCAGTTCCCTGGATTTAAATTAGGAATTAAAGCCCTTTGTGGAAAATATTGAGGTTTTCATTACTGGGGTTAAAGAGGAGAGAGGAGTGGGGCAGTTCCCTGGGTGTAAATTAAGGATTAAAGCCCTTTGTGGAGAACATTGATATTTTCATACTGGAGTTAAAGAGGGGAGAGGAATGGGGCAGTTTCCCCCATGTAAATTAGGAATTAAAACCCTGGAAAATATTGAGGTTTTCATTGCTGAGGCTGCTAGGTTTGTATTAATTAAAATAATTGTATTTGCTTGTATCCTGCAGAGGTGCAGCTGGTCCCTTCTGTTCCAGCTCTCTTGCCCAAAAAAGCAACTCCATTTCCCTTTTCAGCATTTATTTTATAACATTTTGTGTCACAGCTTCTTGTTAAAACCTGGCAGGAAGTCTAAATAAGAGTGCCCAGCTCCAAGGAAAGTACCTAAATAATGGCATTTCTGGAGGCAATTTAATCTGCCAGCCTTGGGTACTTGACTGGGTATCCGTGTTGGGCAGAAGATTTTTGGCAGGGAGAGAGAGCAGGCTCGTTTCTATGGCAACTGAGATCATGTCGGGGATATTTGTGTTGAAAACCCGATGAGAAAACCATCTCAGAGCGAGCAGGAATTTCTCACCAGCCTCTGGAAGGAGTGGAGTTGTGTAAAGGAAGCTCAAATAAAGTCAATTTTCTGGGCATCCTTCCTTCAGGGGGATGGAATATCCGTGCTCAGAGCTGTTGGTTTCACGAAGAGGAAAAGTGAGCAGGTATCTGGATTTTCCAGCTCTGGTTCAGCAGCCAGGGGAGGCAGCCCTCGCAGAGATTCGGGCTTGGACTCCTTCTCACCATGACTTGTGCAGGAAGGAACTGGGATAAATTCCCATCTGGATTTTATTTTGCATCCCTTTTCCCCATTGTTGTGTAAGAAGCCCTGGGCTCACCTGCAGGCTTGGACAAAACCAACAAAATAACCCCAAATTGGTTAAACCTCCTGGCTGCGAGGGCAGGGCCCTGGGGTGGTGACCCTGGAGGGGAGGTGTCCCCAGGGCAGTGCCACAGCTGGGTGGCATCACCCCAGGGTGCTTCAGCTCAGGCTCAAACCCATTAATTAGCACCCACTCAGCTGCTACCGCTGATGATTTGTAGGCTGATGGGGGCAATTTGCATAAAAGGTATAAAAATAGTGTCAATTATCCAGTCCTAGCCTGTGTGTGGCACAATGTCCTTAAAATCTCAGGGATTTGGGGGGATCTGGGGAGGGAGAAGAGCTCATTCCCAGCTTGGGGGGATCTGAGCAGGGACCAGGATGTGACAGGGATGAGGCTGGGCAGGGATGAGGATGTGACGGGGATCAGGCTGGGAGGGGATCAGGCTTTGGAAGGGATCAGGATGTGACAGGGATCAGGCTGGGAGGGGATCAGGCTTTGGAGGGGATCAGGCTGGGAGGGGATCAGGTTTTGGAGGGGATAAGGATGTGACAGGGATCAGGCTGGGCAGGGATCAGGATGTGACAGGGATCAGGCTGGGAGGGGATCAGGCTTTGGAAGGGATCAGGTTTTGGAGGGGATCAGGCTGGGCAGGGATCAGGCTGGGCAGGGATCAGGCTGGGCAGGGATGAGGATGTGACAGGGATCAGGCTTTGGAGGGGATCAGGATGTGACAGGGATGAAGCTGGGCAGGGATCAGGCTTTGGAAGGGATCAGGCTTTGGAAGGGATCAGGTTTTGGAGGGGATCAGGCTTTGGAGGGGATCAGGCTTTGGAGGGGATCAGGCTTTGGAGGGGATCAGGCTTTGGAGGGGATCAGGTTTTGGAGGGGATCAGGTTTTGGAGGGGATCAGGTTTTGGAGAGGATCAGGCTTTGGAAGGGATCAGGATGTGACAGGGATGTGGCTGGGCAGGGATGAGGATGTGACAGGGATCAGGTTTTGGAGGGGATCAGGTTTTGGAGGGGATCAGGCTTTGGAGGGGATCAGGCTTTGGAGGGGATCAGGCTTTGGAAGGGATCAGGATGTGACAGGGATGTGGCTGGGCAGGAATCAGGCTTTGGAAGGGATCAGGCTTTGGAGGGGATCAGGCTTTGGAAGGGATCAGGATGTGACAGGGATCAGGCTTTGAAAGGGATCAGGTTTTGGAAGGGGTCAGGATGTGACAGGGATCAGGCTGGGCAGGGATGAGGATGTGACAGGGATCAGGTTTTGGAGGGGATCAGGACATCAGCTCGGTCCCACCGTCGGATTCCTCATTCCTGGAGCTTTCCTTTCCTCCCCTCTTGGCCAGGAGTGAGGCAGCACAGGAGCTCTGTCCCCTCCTCTGCTCCCTGAGCACTTTGGGAAGCTCTGATCCTGCGGGCAGGGATCTCCTGCTTTGGCTTTGGGCTGTGAAACTGGGGGTGCTGCTTGGGCCCTTCCAGCAGGCTGGGGGCTGTGTGGGGTGAGGGACACTGGGACTGGGTGAGAAACGTGCTGGAAGATCTGTAGTTCAGCCTGGGCACGGGAGAAGCTGAGCTTGGTCTGGCTGGAGCTATTCTGGTTGCTCCCAGGGGAATTCTGCAGAAATCCTTTTATTGGAGAGCACTGCAATGGGAGCAAGCAGCTAAATACAGAGCCCAGATCGCCCAAAGCCTGACCTGGGCTGGGTAGGAGATGCCAAATCTGTGCTCTCCAGGGAGTGTTACCATTTCCAGTCTCTGCCTGCTGCAGGATGGATGTGTGTTCCCAGCTGAGTGGCACCAGAGCTCTCCAAAATCTGAGCTCCAGATGGGTTTTCTGGGTCAGTTAAAACCCCCTGAGGGAAAAGCCAGGTTGCATTTCACTGCCAAAGCCCCCAGAGCCGTGTGAGGGCTGGCAGAGGTGTGGGGCAGAGCCAAACCTCCCTCCCAGAGCTGGATGGAAGGAGGAGGTGGCACTGGGTGACACTGGGTGACACTGGGTGCTGCTGGCTGGAGCTCTGCTCATCCCTGGGAATCATCTCTGACATCACGGAGGTATTTTTAGCTGCCTCCACCTGACAGCACCTCCTTGTCCTTGGCTGATTCCAGAGCCTGGCCTGCAGCCACTGCAGGGAATAATTACCTTTTCCTGCTTTAAATAAGGGAGCAGCCCCAGCCGTGTTCTGGAGCTCTGCAGACAATGAGGCTTCATCCCCAGAGCCTCCTTGTTGGCAGAGCTGCCAGCATTCAGCAGCTCAGCCCCCCCTGAGCTTTTCCTGCAGGCACAGTCACTTTGCAGGGAGTTTCCAGAGGCCAAGGGCAGGGACTGTGCCTGGCTGGATGCTCCCCAGGCATGGCCTTTTCCTTCCCTGCAGGAGCAGGACGGAGCTGTGCTGCTGGGGCTTTGTCCCTGCTCAGGGGCTGGGCCAGGGGGAAGAGCCAGGACTCACCTGGGATCCCCTTCCCAGGCCTGGCAGGGCTGGGTTTGTTCAGCCCCAGGCCCAGGACTTGGCTCAGGGCTGGCTGGGAGCAGCCCTGGGGCAGGGCAAGTATGGGACCCAGCTCATCCCCCTGTGTGGCTCCAGACCCTGGCAACTCCGTGTGAGGAATTACAGCCACAAGGGCTTGAGTAGCGTGGTAGCTGAATTAACACAGGGTGAAAAAGTACAATTTTGGGGTGTTTAGAATGGGGTTCACGGGTACAAGATGGAGGAATTTGAGCATGTCCTGACCTCCTTCTTCTTCTTGCCCTCCATGTCTTGCTGTGCTGGTGACACTTTTCTGTTGGTTTAAGGTAGAGACACACTGTCCAACATAAATGACAGATACTGGCGTGTTATTGTAAATGTAGCACAGGTAGGTTTTGGTATAAAATAACACTATTTAAAAAAAAAACAAACACTAAAATAAAAGTAACACCACCCCAAGGGGGTGGGAGTCTGTCACAGACTGACCTGCTGGACAGAGCTCCTGGAGAAAGCCTGTTATAGATAAGAAAAATAAACAACCTATAGAGAAGAGAAAATAAACAATAAAAATAAACACCAATAAGAGCAGCTGACCCTGCTTTGGGCATTCTGACTTCTCTGGCTGCATGGGCTGGGCAGCAAGGATTTTACATTCCTGGGTCACCTCCTGCAGACCCGAGGGGCACAGCAGTGTCCCTGTGCAGAGCTGGGCTTCTCCTGGCACAGGGGATGCCTGGCCCAGGGTGATAAGCCAGGCTCTTCCTCCTCAGGGTTATTTTTAGTGTCCTCAAGCAGCGGCGCCTCAGAAGTCTGTCTGCAAGCCTGGAGCCTGCCCACTTGGAGGCCTTCCTTCCTGGCTGATTTGGGCAGTGCTACATTCTCTGACACCTGCCTGGGGACTGGGACCTTGTGAAAATTCCTGCTAACAAGCCCTGGAGCGCCCAGAGATGCTCATTAATCAGCCTGGAGGTGTCTGTGGCTGTGCAGGGGGAGCAGGCCCTGTTCTGTGCCTGCTGCTGAGGCTGAGGGACCCTCAGAACCCTCCTGGATGCCACTGAAACACCTGAGGGTGCTTCTCGTGTGTTTAGGCCTGGTGATAGCCAGGGTATTTCCTTCTCCTCCCTCCCTGGTGCAGAAGCAGGGTGCTGGTGAGTGCTGGGGCCAGCCCAGAGTGGCTGCTAAAGCTCCTTGGCTCTGTTTGTGCTGCAGGAGTCAGAGTCTGAGAACAGGCTGGATGGAGAGACAGCGTCCGACAGCGAGAGCAAGTCCGAGTTTGGGGGCTCCTCCCCAGTGCCAACCTCAGATGACACCCCAGAGGTGCTGAACAGGGCCCTCTCCAACCTGTCCTCGAGGTAAAACACTCCCTGGGCAGAGCCCTGTCCATCTGTCCACCCATCCCTGTCCACCCATCCCTGTCCATCCATCCCTGTCCACCCATCCCTGTCCATCCATCCCTGTCCATCCATCCCTGTCCATCCATCCCTGTCCATCCATCGTTTCCATCCATCCCTGTCCATCCATCCCTGTCCATCCATCCCTGTCCATCCATCCCTGTCCATCCATCGTGTCCATCCATCGTGTCCATCCATCCCTGTCCATCCATCGTGTCCATCACAGTTTTATTCCAACATCTGGTATTTATAGAATTCTAAAGGTGACCGTGGATTGGAGGATGGAATCACCACCTCCCCAACCACACTGGTCCAAAGATCAATCAATCCTTTCTCTCCACCCACAGAGAAATATGTAAATTATTCTATTTTTACATGAAATTGTGTGGGAACTCTGATTCTTAAATATGTCAACATTATCAGAAGGTTTAAAGAAGTTTTGTGAGAACTTTAAAACTTCCAAAAGAACTATAAAAGAAAACACTTCTAACAATCAGGGCAACAGGGAGGGGGCAGGATTTGGGTGGGAGGGGAGGGGGCAGAGCAGTGCTGGGTCCTGGCAGGTCCAGGAGCTCGTGGGGGGCTTTGACAGCAGAGGTTTGAGCTGGGGGGTTCAGCCCCTGCTGTCACTCTGATCTCCCTGAGCTCTGCAGGAGTCTGGAGGAGCTGCACTGGTGAGGCCAGAGTTGGGAAGGAGCTGGGGATGTTCTCCACAGTCTGCCTGGCAGGAAATGTTTGTGTCACGGCAGGAGGTGTCACTTCCCTGGGCGTGGGAGAGGCTCCCAGCAGGAGGGTCCAGCAGCCAGGGGCCATCTCTCCTCCTGGAGAGGGGGAATGCTCCCCATTTTTTGGGAATTCACCCTGCAGCTTGTCTGAGGGGTGGGAAAGCTGCAGAGCAGGAGCAGAGGCTGCCCTGGGGGGTGCTCAGCTCTCTGCATTCACTGCAGCTGCTGCAGCCAGGCCTTCATCAGCACATCGAGGCCTCTGTGCACCACTGAGAGGAAATTTGGGGTTTCCAGGGCTCACTTTCCTTCCTGAGGCACACAGAGAGCAGAAGTTTCTGTGGCTGCTTTGCTCTGCCTTGTCTTTCTCTGATGTTTTCCTTCTCCGTGGCCCAGATGGAAGAACTGGTGGGTGAGGGGCATCCTCACGCTGGCAATGATCACCTTCTTCTTCATCATCATCTACCTGGGCCCCATGGTCCTGATGACAATTGTAAGTGCTCCAGGGAGGTGTCCTGACCTTCCCTGCAGCAGGGGGAGGTTGCTGGGGAGCTCAGGGCCCCGTGTTCCAGAGATCCTGGGTTCCTCTGTCCCTGGAGGAAACTGGGAGGAATCTGCTGCTCAGTATTGGCAACTCACACGAGGGGGTGTGCTCGGGGAAAAACAACACCCTGAGCATCCCAGGTGGGATTGGGAGGGAAAAGTCACAGCCTGAGCTTCCCTTGGGAGGAAAAAACTCCATCCTGAGCATCCCAGGTGGGACTGGGAGGGGAAAGTCACAGCCTGAGCTTCCCTTGGGAGGGAAAAACTCCATCCTGAGCATCCCAGGTGGGATTGGGAGGGAAAAGTCACAGCCTGAGCTTCCCTTGGGAGGGAAAAATGACACCCTAAGCATCCCAGGTGGGATTGGGAGGGAAAAAAGGGATTGGGAAGGAGAAATGGCACCCAGAGTTTCCTGGGGGGGGACTGGGAGGGAAAATCTCCACCCAGAGTTTGCCAGGGGGGGACTGGGACGGAAAATCTCCACCCAGAGTTTCTTGGGGGGGACTGGGAGGCTCCTGCAGGGCTGGTGGCTGCTGGAGGAGCAGGTGCCCTGCAGGTGCTGCTTTGTCCCCTCAAGGGCAGAGGAGTGGAGCCCACGGGGGGTTCAGTGCCTGCTGTCCTCCCTGTGCAGGTGATGTGTGTGCAGATCAAATGCTTCCACGAGATCATCACCATTGGCTACAACGTCTACCACTCCTACGACCTGCCCTGGTTCAGGACGCTCAGCTGGTGAGTGAGGGGCTCTCACCTGGAATTCCTTCCCAAAACCTCACTCACCCACCCCAAAACCCCACTAACCCACCCCAAAACCCCAGTAACCCCACTCACCCACCCCAAAACCCCACTAACCCCACTCCTGCTGTGTGTGAATTATTTCCCTCCTTTCCCAGGTTCGTGTGCGAATTACTTCCCCTCTCCCCAGGCATTTCCAGATGTGTGTGAATTATTTCCCCCAGCTGTGTGTGAATTATTTCCCCTCTCCTCAGGTATATTTTGCTGTGTATGAATTATTTCCCCCCTCCCCAGGTACTTCCTGCTGTGTGTGAATTATTTCTTCTACGGGGAGACGGTGACAGATTATTTCTTCACGCTGGTGCAGAGGGAGGAGCCGCTGCGGATCCTCAGCAGATACCATCGCTTCATCTCCTTCGCCCTCTACCTGACAGGTGGGCTCGGGGGGGAGATCTGCCAGGGGGAGGTGTGCCAGGTGGGCAGCAGGGATGGATCTGGCCTGCCAGGTGGGCAGCAAGGATGGATCTGACCTGCCTGGGCACAGAACCCCCTTTGCTCCCCGGGGATGCCACCATGGCCACTCTTGCTTTGGTTGTGGAAAATCCTCAAAGCGAGGAGAAAACCCCAAAATCTTCATGGGGCCCCCAAATGGTTCACAGGCAATACACTTTATATATAATATTTATATTTATATTTAAATATTATTTACTTAAATATATTTTTGTTTTTAAAGTCTGACACATATTTATATATAAATACAATAATACATATTATCCATACACAATACATATATATATATAATAGTTCTAATTTTTTTTAATATAAACAATATATAAATAGATTATCAATATAAGATACAAATAAAAGAATATTTGATTGAAATCTAACCCAAGGAGTTTGGATTCCTGGCTGTGGGAGGAATTGCCAGCTCTGACTTTGCTCCTGTCTCCCCTCAGGTTTCTGCATGTTTGTGCTGAGCCTGGTGAAGAAGCACTATCGCCTGCAGTTCTACATGGTGAGTAAATCCGGGCTCTGGGGGGGCTAAAATTCATGTTTTGGTGAGGTGAAATTAAAATTTTGGTGAGGGTTTGAGGTTAAATGGGGCTGGAAGGGCTCAGCCAGGAGCGCAGCCTCTGCTCAGCTCCTCAGCAGTGAGAGGCGCTTCAGGAGCTCAGACCAGGAGAGCCCAGCCCAGGAGGCCTGGCCCTGCTCCTGTGCTAATTAACAAGTGGCTAACGAGGAAATTAACGAGCGTGGGCGCTGTGCTCTCCTGCAGTTCGGCTGGACCCACGTCACGCTGCTGATCGTGGTCACCCAGTCCCACCTCATCATCCACAACCTCTTCGAGGGCATGATCTGGTGAGTTCTGCTGCGCCCGAGTGCTGGGGAGAACCGTGTTCTCCTGGGATCCCTGTGTTCTCCTGGAATATCTCTGTGTTTTCTGGGATCCCTGTGTTCTCCTGGAATCTCTGTGTGTTTTCTGGGATCCCTGTGTTCTCCTGGGATATCTGTCTTCTCCTGGAATCTCTGTGTGTTTTCTGGGATCCCTGTGTTCTCCTGGAATCTCTGTGTGTTTTCTGGGATCCCTGTGTTCTCCTGGAATCTCTGGGTTTTTTCTGGGATATCTGTGTTCTCCTGGCATCCCTGTGTTTTGGAAGTCATCCCAAAGGAGTTGGGATCCCACAGGAGTTCTCCCACAGGAGTTCTCCCACAGGAGTGATCCCAATCCCAGAGGAATATTGCACAGGAGTGATCCCACAGGAACACCCCTCAGCAGTGACCCCAGTCCCAGCCCCACCGGGGTGATCCCAGCCCCGACCCCGACCCCATCAGCGCCGCTGTCCCCGCAGGTTCATCGTGCCCATCTCCTGCGTGATCTGCAATGACATCATGGCCTACATGTTCGGCTTCTTCTTCGGCCGCACGCCGCTCATCAAGGTGGGCACGGCGGGCTGGGGGCATTTGGGGGGATTTGGGGGGATTTTGGGGCATTTGGGCTCTTTGGGCTCCCCCAGCTCCTGCTCCGGGGCCTCCTTGGCTCTGGAGCCAGGCTCCAATCAGTCCTGGTGGGCATCCCAGCCTTTGAGGCTGGCATTTTATTTTATTTTATTTTATTTTATTTTATTTTATTTTATTTTATTTTATTTTATTTTATTTTATTTTATTTTATTTTATTTTATTTTATTTTATTTTTTATTTTATTTTATTTTGGTTTATTTTATTATATTTTCCTTTATTTTATTATATTTTGCTTTATTTTGTTTTGATTTATTGTGTTGAATTTTATTTTATTGGATTGAATTTTATTTAAAATTAAATTTGTTTTTTTTTGTTGTTTTCTATTTTATTGCATTTTATTTAATTGTATTTAATGTTACTGATTTTTTTTTTATTTTACTGAATTTTATTTAATTGAATTATATTTAATTGAATTTACTTAATTGAATTAAATCATTGAACCATCAAGGTTGGGAAGATGATCGAGTCCAGCAGTTGTTGTGTAATTTGTGTGTAATTTGAATTTTTGAATAATTTAATTTTTTAAAAAATATTTTTATTTCTCTATTTTATTTGTCTCGCTGGCAGCTCTCCCCAAAGAAGACCTGGGAGGGTTTTATTGGAGGATTTTTCTCCACCGTTCTCTTTGGATTGCTGGTGAGTGTCCGTCGTGGTTCTTCCTCCATGGAGCTTCCCTTTCCTGGGCTGTTCTGGTTAAAAATGCAGTCAGCTTTTGATCTGTCAGGGATTTCACCTTTTCTGGCTGCCAGCGTTGGAATTTTTCAGATATTTCTCCTTTTTTGGTCCCAGGGTTGAACTTCTGTCAGATATTTCCCCTTTTTTGCTCCCAGGGTTGAATCTGTGTCAGATATTTCCCTTTTTTTCATCCCAGAGTTGGAATCTCTGTCAGATATTAAACTATTCTTGCTGCCAGGGTTGAATTTCTGTCAGATATTTCCCCTTTTTTGGTCCCAGAGTTTGAATTTCTCAGCTATTTCCTTTTTTTCTGCTCCCAGGGTTTGAATCTCTGTCAGATATTAAACTTTTCGTGCTGCCAGGGTCTGAGGTGGTCCCTGGCTGTGCAGGCACTGCTGGAGCCTGGAGTTGCAGGGAGTTTTTAACCCCTGTGATGGCAATAATTGACATTTCCCTCTGCTGCTGTAGGGTGGGGCTGTGTTTGAGGGAATTGCTCACTCCTGGAGTGCTGTGCCCTGGTTTTGTGACCCTCTGGGCCTTTTTGGGGCTGTGCTTGAGGGAATTCCTTGCTCCTGGAGTGCCCTTAGCCAATTACTGCCACTCACTAATTACTCAGCTGTTGTAAATGCAGCCGAACACAATGGGGAGAAATGACAATGTCTGACTCAATTCAAAAGGCTGAATGATTTCTTTATTATAACTATGCTAAAATACATTAATATCCTCTATAAAGGAGATAGTAAAACTACAAACCTGCTTTTTCTAACTACCAAATTAACTCCTCACAACTCCTGACCCTCTGAGAGCCCAGCCCCAGGCGGGTTGGATTGGCCACCAGCTCAAACAATCCTCACCAGAACCCAACCAAGCACTCACCCCAGGTAAACAATTCTCCAAACACATTCCACGTGGGAAAAACAAGGAGCAGAAATGGAAATTGTTTTCTCTTTCTTTCTGTCTCTATGAAAACTCCTGAGATGGGGAGAGATGTGCTGCCACACTCAGCCATGCCCTCAGCGAGGCTGGGCGAGCGCTCCCTCCTCCCTCAGCTCCTTGCAGGGCCTCTCCCCTGGAGGCAGCCCTGAGGAAAACACGAGTTCTGCTCTTTCTCTCCCCTCTCTCTCCCTGGAGCTGTCCTACGTGATGTCGGGGTACCGCTGCTTCACCTGCCCCGTGGAGTTCAACAACGACACCAACAGCTTCACGGTGGACTGCGAGCCCTCGGAGCTCTTCCAGCTGCAGGAGTACAACGTGCCCGTGGGGCTGCACTCCGTGCTGGGCTGGGTACGACCCTCTGTGCCCCTGAGTGTTGGTTTTGGGGTGGGATTGGCGAGGGGAGAGCGGGGCTGCGTTTGTCAGCACAGGAGGAGCGGAGGATCCCAAAGGAGTCATCCCAAATCCGGGGGTGTGAACCCACCTGAGAGCCAGCGGAGCTGCAGCCTGGGGGCACGGGAGAGGGGCAGGCTCTGAGGTGCTGCTGTGTGGTGAGTGTGTTCTACACTGACAACGCTGCTGTGTCTGTGCTGCAGAAAACCGTGCGGATGTACCCGTTCCAGATCCACAGCATCGCCCTGTCCACCTTCGCCTCCCTCATCGGGCCCTTCGGCGGCTTCTTCGCCAGTGGCTTCAAGAGGGCCTTCAAAATCAAGGTGAGGAGGGGGTTTTGGGGGGCACGGGGGTTTTGAGGGTGTCACAGAGGTTTTGGGGAGGTCCTGGAGGTGTTGTGGGGGGTGGGGGATGGATGTTCTGGGGAGGAGACACAAAGTCCCAGAGCTCCAGGGGAAGGGAGGTTTGTTCAGACACAGATAAAATGCTGGAGCAGGAGTTGGGTTTTTTGACCAAAAGGGAAGAGACCTTAAGAGTTTAAGTGTGACATTCTCAACCCTGCTGTGGTGCAGGCAGGGGAAGGAAGCCCCGGGCAGGAAATTGTGCAATCTGGGGTGTCCCTTGATGTCTTGGAGGCTGGTTTCACATACAAACAGCCTGGGCTCAGGTAAGATGCCTTGAAAGGCAAGGCAGGGTGGCAGCAGATAAACATTTGCCTGAGCTTGGAGCAGCAGAGCTGAGTTGAGCCTTGCTGCCCCTCAGGCTCCAGCAGCCCCAGAAAGGAGAAACTTGCAGAAGCAGGGAGCTGTTAGCCCAAACGTGGTGGGACTCTGCCTTCGGGGCAGGGGTGATGTGGTGTGGGGCACCAGAGCAGCACAGGTGCTGGGGAGGGCTCAGGGGCATCCCTCTGCTCTGCCAGGACTTTGCCAACACCATCCCGGGCCACGGGGGCATCATGGATCGCTTCGACTGCCAGTACCTGATGGCCACCTTTGTCAACGTCTACATCGCCAGCTTCATCAGGTGATGCTGCTTCCGGGGCTCACAGGGGCTTCGTTAACTCTTCATTACTCTGTTTTCGTTAAGAATCCCATTGTTTTATAGACAGCCACCACACAGGTAGACACAACTGGTCCTTTACTTAAAACTTGATTACTGTTGGTTGTCGCTGCTGGGCACAAAATGAAGTTTGGTAAGTTAAAAGGAGAAAAAGAGAAAGTTTTATTCCAGCATCTGGTATTTATAGAATTCCAAAAGTGACCGTGGATTGGAGGATGGAATTATCACCTCTCCAACCACACTGGTTAAACCAACAGTCCATCAATTCTCTCCTCCCACAAAGAATGCAAAACAATCATTATTTACAGGAACAGTGTGTGAGAAATCCAGTAGAAATATGTAAACATTATCAGAAGGCTAAAGTTTTATGAGAACTTTAAAACTTTGAAAAGAACTATAAAAGGAAACCTAACACTTTTAAAAATCAGGGCAACAATTGGTTAATTAACAAACCACTCTGTGGTGGACAAACCTCCATAACACGTTCCACATGCTCAGAACCCAGGTGCAGCAAGGTAAGAATTGTTTCTGGTTCTTTTAAAACTCTGACCTTCTCCCAGCACAGTGCCTGGGGAAAGTTGTGTTTTGCTATTGGACATGAAATGCTATTGGACACAGAAGAAGAGAAAGTTTTATTTGAACATCTGATATTTATAGAATTCCAAAGGTGACCGTGGATTGGAGGATGGAATCACCACCTCTCCAACCACGCTGGTCCAAAGATCAATCAATCCTTTCTCTCCACCCACAGAGAAATATGAAAACTATTCTATTTATACATGAAATCATGTGGGAGCTCTGACTCTCAAACATGCAAACATGATCAGAAGGCTAAGAAGTTTTTTGACAACTTTAAAACTTCCAAAAGAGTAAAAATCAGGGCAACAGTTGTGTTTGTCCCTGTGGCCAGGGAGCTGCTGGCACAGGGGAGCCCTGCTGGGCCTTCCTGGCTGGGCTGGGGGCTCCTGAGCTCTGTGACAGCTGGAGCAGCTGGAAATGCAGGGCAGAGGGAGCTGGGGTCCTCAGCAGAGCTGGGAATGCACCCCTCAGTGAAACAGGCTCAAAACTTAGCAAGGTAGAAATCTACCTTTAGGTGAAATATGAATTATGCTTGCTAGCATAAGTAAAATATGCTGCTTAGTCTGGTAGCTCTGCAGCTTTAGTAAAAACTGCCCCAACTGAGGGAAAAAAAAAGTGAATTTCCAGGCTGAAGAGATAAAAGAAGCTCCTCAGACTTTAAAACAAACAGGAGAAGGTGACCCAGGAGTTGTTTCTGTACTTTCTAATAAAACCAGCTGCAAGAGTAGAATCTGGGCTCCCAGGGGAAGGGACAGCGGGGACGTTCTGGAATTGCCCTGGGGAAGGGAGAACAGGGCCCAGCAGAGCAGGGAAGGTTCTGGAATCCCCTCAGCCCCTGCTGACCTGGCTCTGTGTTGCAGGGGCCCCAACCCCAGCAAGCTGCTGCAGCAGTTCCTGGCGCTGCGGCCGGAGCAGCAGCTGCACATCTTCAACACGCTGAGAGCTCACCTGGCCGAGCGGGGAGTGCTGGGCAGCCCCGAGGAGGCGTAGGCTGGACAGGACTGACTCTGCCTCCTCTGCCCTGCCTGCCTCCAGAGCAGGGCCCCACTTCACTGTAACTCTTCTTCCTTCCTTGGTAAATGTTCGCATCAGTGGTTTATTTTATTTTAATTTTTTTTTTTCTAAATAATATATTTATAGAGCTTTGGTTCAAACAAGCAAATCTGGGATTTGTGGCTGAGAAGGAGTTGAGGCTGGGGAGGGCTGGGTGGGGCAGGAGGGGGTGGCTGTGCTGCTGGACTGTTCTGGTTCCTGCTGGGATGTTCTGGTCCCTGCTGGGATGTTCTGGTCCCTGCTGGGATGTTCTGGTTCCTGCTGGGATGTTCTGGCCCTGCTGGGATGTTCTGGCCCTGCTGGGATGTTCTGGTTCCTGCTGGGATGTTCTGGTTCCTGCTGGGATATTCTGGCCCTGCTGGGATGTTCTGGTTCTTGCTGGGATGTTCTGGCCCTGCTGGGATGTTCTGGCCCTGGGGACAGTGGGAGCTGTCCCGGCAGGACCTGCCTGGCACAGGGAGGAGGATCTGTGCCAGCCCAGCCCCATTTCCCCCTGCAGCCCCTCCTGCAGCGCCTCTCACATTCCCTCCCTGCTGCGCTGCTGCAAATCCCATTTTTGTAGCCAGTTAAAGCAGAAACTGGGCACGGGGAGCTGAGGAAGTGGCAGCTCTGTGGGGGATGTGGGAGGTTCAGATTCCTCCAAAACCCAGGGAAGTGAAGGAGTTTTTGAGAGTTCCACTGAGCAATTCCTGCCAGCTGAGAACAACTTCCGAACACCTTGGTTTGTTTCCCCCGTTAAAGAGCCTTTAGAAACCACACTTCTTCCTTTCCCCGAGCTGGGAAAGCCCAGAGTGGGATGTTTGCAGGAGCCTGGGGAGCATTTCCAGCCTTGCTGGGTGGGCTCCAGCTGCAGCTGGGTTTGTTTTCTTTCAGGGATCATGTCTGTCTGTTACTTGAGTTGTAGAAGTCGTGCTGCTGAGTTTCCCAAGGTCTGTGTTGCATTTCAGTCCGGGTTCATTTCTCTGCAGGCTTCTGTCCTGCTTTGCTCACTGAATCTTGTCAGAAGTAGTTTGTACTTTAGAGCTGCAGGCTTCATTGAAGTACTTTCCTTTATTTTGTCATACTTTTTTATTATTTAAAAACGAGAGCCCTAAAGATTGTAAAACTTTGCTTTTTTTTTTTTTGTTTTGGTAACCAGATAGTGAAAACATCCCCATTTACACCTCGTGCAATGTTCCCAAACACGAGGTGACTCTGATTTTCCTTCTTTCCATAGTTTGTGCATGGGAGAGAGAAACTTTCCCTTATTTTAACCTGGGGAATGAGTGACAGGGAGCGCTTCTGCAGAAGTTGCATTGGAGTTTTCAAGCAGCTGCTGCCACAAACTTTTAGCCACACGTGAGCCCTGCCCCTGCTGCGAGCTGGCTTGGCATCCACAGAGAATAAACCACCTGAAAACGCCCCAAACCCAGAGCTCTCACCCCACATTCTGGTTTCATTTAGCCTGAGTGTGTGTGAGCACACAGCACAGGGCCCAGCCTCTCCTGCAGTGCTGGTGGGCAGGAGCTTTGTGCCCAGCTCAGGTGTTTGGGGGTGGGCACGGGCTGAGGAGCAGCTCTGCTCTTACAGAGCTCTCAGTGCTGCTGGTGAGGCTCTGCAGGAGCAGCTCAGGGCTGCCCTGGTGTCCAGGCACATTCCTCCTGCTCGGGCATTTCTCCTGGGGCTGCTCCCTTCCAGCTGGGTCAGGTTCATGCTCTGGCGATGGAACAGCTCTGGAGCAAGCTCCTGAGATGGAAAATGCAGGGGAGAAGGGAGATGCTGCCATGGCACCGTCCCTGGCAGTGCCAGGGCCTGGACCTGCTGGGCTCTCTGGCTTCTCCCTGCCCTTGCCAGAATCCCTCTTGCGGCTGCTGCTCCCAGGCAGGAGTGACAGTGCTGATGGAGATCCCAAAGCTGTGCTCTGTCCCCACTGAGAAATCCCTGGTGGCTCTTTAGTCTCCTGCTGCTGTGCTTTAACCCTTTTGTTGCTGCTGTGCCCAGCAGGGCAGAGCTTTGCTGCAGCTTTGGGGCAGGGCTGGGCTGGCAGTGCTGGCTGTGGGCACTGGAGGGCAAAGCAGCTCCACGGAGCAGCTGGGAGAGCAGCAGAGCTCTGCCTGTGGGTGGCTGCCCTGCTCACAACGGCCTGACCTGGAACTGGCTCTGTGGTGAGAAATGGGCTGACTGGAAATTAATTCTGTGATGAGAAATGGGCTGGTCAGAAATGCCCTGACGAGAAAATACCCTGATCAGAAATGCCCTGATCAGACATTCATTGATCAGAAAATTCCCTGATCAGACATTCCCTGATCAGAAAATTCCCTGACCAGCTTTGTTCCTGCCTCCTCCCTCCAAACCTGCCTGGGAAGGGTTTCCTGCATGGAAAAAAATCCCTTAAAAGCCATGAAAGAGTGGGAGCAGTGGATGCAGGGAGGAGGGGAGGGAGCTGGGGTGTGGATGGAGGGGGGTTAAAATCCTGTCCTGCTCCTTTGCCATGGGCAGGGAATCTCCTGCAGGTCTGGTCTGGCACTGCCAGGGGTGGGTTTGGGAAGGATGGGAAGGTTTGGGAAGGACGGGAAGGTTTGGGAAGGATGGGAAGCTGCTGCTCCTGGCTGCTTTGGCTGGTTCTGGGCTGGAGCTGGTGCTCAGGGATGTGCAGCAGCCCTGCAGGGCCCTGGGCATGCAGCAGCTGCAGGAATTTGGGTGTGGAGGGCACACAGGGACCCCGGGGACGGGGCAGTTCTGCAGCTGCAGGGCTGGAGCTCAGCCTGGCACAGAAAAAGGTTCAGGGCAGGGAAGGGCAGAGCAGGAGAGGGGAGCTGGTGCCAGCTGGGGTTTGTGTGTGGGATGGGAGGAGAGGACAGGACCCCGTGGCAAGGTCCTGGGCTGGCACGGGAGCCACCAGTGTCCCTGGCCACCAGCCAGGGAGGTGGCAGTGCCATGGGGAGGGGACACTGGGCACCCCCAGGTGTTTTTAGGGGCTGCTTGGGTTTGGACAAGGGTTGGGCCAGGTCTGTGGACACCGGGGTGGGAATTCTGCTTTTCCCTGCCTGGCTGCAGCCCTGTGCAGCCCCAGCTCTGCAGCATTGTGCAGCCCCTGCAGCCCCAGCTCTGCAGTCCTGTGCAGCCCCTGCAGCCCTGTGCAGCCCCTGCAGCCCCAGCTCTGCAGCCTGGCCTGTTCTTTCTCTGTGCATCGTCCTTCTGGTTCCAGTTCTAGCTGCACTCGTAGAGTTGCCTTCCTTTGACCGAATGTTGGAATGTGAAATATTGTATATTTTAAAGTATTTACCCTATTTATATACTGTATGTTACTGTTAAATAAATATAAATTCCATTACCCGCGGGGAGTTTCATTCAGTGCTCTGGCTGCTCATTTCCAAGCTGCCATTCCCTCATTCCCTGGGCTCTCCTTCCCGAGGGATTTCCTGGAGGGGGGCAAGGACACATCCCGAGGGGTCCCACATTCCCCGTGGGGTTTGTGGTGACCCCACAGGCCCAGGCTGCCCCTGGTGGGTGCTGGCCCTGCTCCCCTGCAGACCCAGCACGATTCATCACCTGCAGAGTGGGAAACCCCCTGGGAGCTCCTCTTGCCCCAAGTCCCTCCTTCATCCCAGCCCTCGCCGGGGTCAGCAGGGCAGAACCCTCTGTTCACACAGCAAAATCCTATTTTTAGCTCTGCTGCTGTTTTGTCTGTTTTTCTGACTTATCAGCTCAGCCTCAGCTGCTTCTCAGGGCTTCCTGTCCCTGCAGAGCAGCAGCAGAGCAGCAGCAGAGCTTGGTGGAAGCCCCAGCAGGTGCCTCCAGAGCCAGCTCCCACCTCCCACAGGGGCAGCAGTGCTCAGTATTCTGCAATATTCAGTATTCAGCAATATTCAATATTCAGCAGTGCTCAATATTCAGCAGTATTCAGTATTCAGCAATATTCAATATTCAGCAGTGCTCAATATTCAGCAATATTCAATACTCAGCAGTGCTCAATATTCAGCAATATTCAATATTAGCAATGTTCAATATTTAGCAATATTCATCAATATTCAATATTAATATTCAGTGCACAGCAATGTTCACTATTCAGCAATATTCAATACTCAGCAATGTTCAATATTCAGCATTTTGGTTCACCTTGGGCTCATTTTGGGACCATTTTGGTTCCCCTTGGGCTCATTTTGGACCGTTTTGGTTCATTTGGGTGCAGCCCTGGCTGGGCTCTCGTGCTGCCCGGGGTGGATCCATTTTGAATAAATCCCTGATTTATTCTGTAGCTCTGCCCCAGCTCAGCACTGCTGGAGCCTCTGGGGCTCAGAGCAGCTCCATCAGTTGTTGTGGGATTTGGTGGAATCCGTTTCCTGCAGCTCTGAGCCAGCTCTGCCTGCTTTTAGCTGGGCCAGGTTTTGTGGAAATTTATCTTAGAATGAGTTAAATAACTAATTGTGTTATCAAATTTATATGATTTTATAAAATGTAGTTAGATTAAATAATACAATATTTATAAAATTAGTTAGATTCCATACATTTAGGTCAGATATTGGGAAGGAGTTGTCCCCTGGATCCCTGGCAGTGCCCAAGGCCGGGCTGGAGCAGCTGGGATGGTGGAAGTGTCCCAGGGATGGGATGGGATGGGATTTAAGGTCCCTCCCAACCCAAACCATGGCTCCACAATCCCTTGGTGCTCACCCCGCTGATTTCCATGTCCTTTCCTCCCGGAGCCGCCCCATTTCATCCCCATTTGGCTGCAAAATCCGTGGGCACCTCGGCCAACAACGGGAAAAGCCAAAACCCAGAGGCGGCGGTGCCGGGCGGGGATGCCCCAGGACGGGCACGGATGGGCACGGATGGGCACGGACAGCACCCCAGGCTCACCCTGGCATCAGCCCAGCTCTGCCCCTCAGCAGGACAGCCCCAGAGCCCCAGGCCGGGCTGTTCCTGCTCGGGGCAGCTCTCGGGGCTCGGAGGACTCTGGCACCACTTCCTCAAATGCCCCGAGCGGCGCCTGGGGAGCGGCCCCGGCCTGGGCTGGTGTCCCCCGGGCCAGGACAGGGGGCGAGGGGGGCCCAGGGCTGGCAGCACCCCAGAGCACCGCTGGGGCAGCCAGAGCCGGGCAGGAAAGCGGGGCAGGAAAGGACTTTTTTGGGGTTTTTGCTGCTCTCAGAGGCAGGAAGCTCGCTGGCAAACCAGCCCTCGCCGCGGCGCTGCTCTTTGTGGGGGGACCCCCACGGGACCGTCGGGCTCCAGCCCCTCTCCCAGGCAAGCTCACCTTGAGGGAGGAGGAAAAAAAGAGATTTTCCTGATCCAGAATGTCCCTCAAGCTGCCACGGAACTGGGATTTCAACCTGAAGATGGATGCTGCAAAAATAGGTACGGCAGTGATCCTTCCTGATCCTCCCGTGTCTGCCGGGGCTGGGCAGGGCCGGGGGCTGAAGCCGAGCCCAGCTCAGGTTTTCAGGTTTTGGCTCACTGGGGCACTTCAGAGACAGCAGCAAGAAGGGATTTGCAGGTTTGTCAGCGGGGGATGCCGTGGGAGCAGGGGGACAGGGCTGCTGCCCCCAAAATCCGGCTTTGGGGGAATTTAAACCGCCCAGGCCTGTTCTGGTGGCACAAACCTGGCCCAGGTGTCCCTGCCCCTCTGACATCGGTGGTTTCCTCTCAGGGGTGCTGGGGAGCCAGAGGGGAGGGCATTTAGGGGATTTAGGGGTGATCGTGGTGGTCAGGGAGGGGATTTAGGGTGATGGAGGGGATTTAGGGGTGATGGAGCGGATTTAGGGTGGTGATGAGGTCAGGGAGGGCTGCAGGGCCCAGCCTGAGCCCAGGCCATCCATGGTGCCAAAAACCCACACCGGGGCTTGGTTTATCTCAGCTGGGAGCAGAGCTGGACCCAGCTGGTCTGTGCCTGGATTTTCCTGCAAAGAAACTCGGATTTCTGTCCAAAGCCACTTTTACCAGAGTGGCCAAAGCATTCCCTGCACCCAGAGCTGCAGGGGAAGGGGTGGAAGCCCCCGATGAGAGCTGGCATGGCCCAGGAGCTCGAGCTCAGTGCCATCCCCACACTCTGGGGAGAAATCCCCGTGGATTATCACAGGAGCCTCCTGCACTCCTCATTGCTGGGATAATTAATGGGTTTTTGCCCAGAGGCTGTGGAGCAGTGGGTGAAGTCAAGCCAGGAAAAAAGGCCAGGGCACCCCAAAACTTCTGGGGAGCAGAGGGTGGAGATGGGACAGAGGCTTGAGCCTGTGCTGGTACCAGGAATTGCCTCTTTTTCCAAGAAAATCTGCTTGTGAGGAAAGCCCTGGGGCTTTTTGCAGCTTCCAGCTGCTGGGAGAGTGTGATCTTGTGTGAATTTGTGTGAGTTTGTGTGAATTTGTGTGAATTTCTGTGAATTTGTGTGAGCTTGTCTGAATTTGTGTATTTGTGTGACTTTGTGTGAATCTTTGTGAGTGTTTGTGTGAGTTTCTGTGAGTTTGTGTGAATTTATGTGACTCTGTGTGCTTGTGCTGCCTCCAGGGCTGCTGTGGCCTGGTTTGCAGAAATGTGAAAGTCCCATTTGCAAATGTTTGCAATATTTTCAGATTGCCACCGCCCTCCCTGGCTCCTGGTGGCCTGGGGACACTTCCCCTGCTGGCCCCAGCGCTGCCTGTGGCCCCGTTTGGAGAACTGCACAGGAGCTGATTGCAGTGAAACAGAAATTCCCTGCTGCAGCTCTTTTGGGGATTTTTCCCTGCCAGCTCCCAGCAGTGGGGGTGCCAGGACGGGCTCTGCCCACGGTGGTTTTGGGCAGCAGCGCAGGGGCAGCTCTCCCTGCTGGGGGAGGCGGTTTTGGAGGAAATGCCCAAGCCCAGAGGCCGTTGGCGCAGGAAACGCTCGGGGGGCACCCAGGGGCTCCTCACCCTGGGGGTTTGGGAGGGGATTGGGACACCCCGGAGTGAGGACTGGAGCCCTGCCTGCCCAGGGTGCTCCAGCTCAGGAGATCCCAGTGCAGGGCCCGCTCACGGCTTCATTCCTGCCTTGCAGCCATCCCAGCACACTCTGCCCAGCTGGGCTGGCTCTGGGGGCTGCAGAGGCAAAAATCCCCCCCAGAAGTGACCCCTGCGAGGCACTGGCTGTCCCAGAGGCATCTGGGGACACCACAGGGCCGTGCCACCAGTGGGGCCACACCAGCAGGTGACAGGGACACTGTCCTGCCCAGTGCCGAACCCGTGCTGGTGTTCCTCCATCCCTGGAGATTTCCAGCCCCATAAGTGTCAGTTCTGCCCCACTGGCACCACCCCAGAGCCGAACCGGGACCTCCAGAGCGTTTGGGTCACTCTGCTGTCACTGCTGCTCTGGGGAGGGTGCAAACCCCACACAGTGCCATGAAACAAACCCCAAAACAGCCCCAGAAATGGTTTTGTTCTCACTGGCGAGGCAATTCCTCCCACGCAGGAGAAAGGAAGCTCACACTGACAGCCGCTGCAGCCACTTCCTCTGCAAACTGGGGCCAGGGCCCGCAGCAGAGCGGGGCCAGAGCCTGTCCGTGTCCCTGTGTCCCTCTGTCCCTACTCTGTGTCCCTGTGTCCCCACTCTGTGTCCCTGTGTCCCCACTCTGTGTCCCTCTGTGCCCGTGTCCCTCTGTGCCCACTCTGTGTCCCTGTGTCCCCACAGACTATCCCCTGTCCCCATATCCTGTGTCCCCATACAGTGTCCCCCTGTCCCCAACCCTGTCCCTGTCCCTGTCTCACACATCTGTCCCTGTCCCATCCTCTGTCCCTGTCCCTCACCCCTGTCCCTCACGCCGTCCCTCACCCCGTCCCTGTCCCACACTCCTGTCCCTGTCCCACAACCCTGTCCCTGTCTCACACTCCTGTTCTGTCCCCAGCGCTGTCCCACAACCCTGTCCCTGTCCCCCACAGCTGTCCCTGTCCCATCCCGTGTCCCTGTCCCCAGCCCTGTCCCGCACTCCTGTCCCTGTCCCCATCCCTGTCCCTGTCCCACACTCCTGTCCCTCACCCCTGTCCCTGTCCCTGTCCCTCACGCCTGTCCCTGTCCCACACTCCTGTCCCTGTCCCTGTCCCTGTACCTCACGCTGTCCCCGTCCCTCACCCCAGTCCCTGTCCCTCACCCCTGTCCCTGTCCCTGTCCCCGTCCCTCACCCCTGTCCCTGTCCCCGTCCCTCACGCTGTCCCTGTCCCTCACCCCTGTCCCTGTCCCTGTCCCTCACCCCTGTCCCTCACGCTGTCCCTGTCCCTCACACCGTCCCCGTCCCTCACGCTGTCCCTGTCCCCATCCCCGTCCCTCACACTGTCCCTGTCCCTCACGCTGTCCCTGTCCCTGTCCCCGTCCCTCACGCTGTCCCCGTCCCCAGCC